CAAGATCGATGAATCAAACACTCACTCAAACTCATCAGCTAGAAAATCGAAGTCGAGGTCTGCGATCGGTTCGGCACCAGGTTTGAGGATATTCTCATGAATTCTACTTGGTTCAAGGAAGGCCAAGAGATCCAGTAAGTGAACGGCGTCACCAGACAGGTTGTTCAGGTTCACCTCAAACATTGTTGCCGGTGTAATTTGGTAACCTCCGAAGCCTTGCTTCCTCGCATCGATCTTTGTTGAGTTACGAGTGTAATGTTCCGACAATCTTCGATTCGTAGAGCTCGGTGGGTGATACCGCAGCTATTTGGTCCATAGCCAACGGGATGTCGGCGCGTTGGTGACAAATCTCGTTTGCTTCCTCTCGCCCTGTCACGCTAGAGTTGTCGAGTTGACAGGAGACTCATAGCGTTCTCAGGAACGAACGAGAAGTAAGATCTTTATTCTGAAGACCTCTCGAGTATTACACAGTAGGCTTCAATCTTCTCACGAAAGAGAGAGAGAGAGGGGGGTTTGATGAAGAGGGCGACATTCAAGAAAGAAGACAAACAGGTAGATAATGAAACAGTCAACCTTCATTTCAGTAACTCTAGATGACTAGTCAACCAGTTCATCCTGCACCTCTCAAGCCCGTAAATTATATCCATATTTCTCGCTTGACTGACACGTTGAATCTGCCTCATCATTAGCAGTCTCATATTACTTGACGCTCCGCAAGGAGAATAAGACTATTCCTTGCCATGTGCTCTTAATGTTAAGACCTGACTTTACGCCTTCGTTGACGGTTCGGGAGGCGCCGAGCCGGTGGGAAATGGGGCTTTGGAGCTGTGGTGGAGCCTTGGCAGGACAAGCAATAGTCGAACACAGAGACGGTGCCGCTTTCAAGACGACCTGCTCGCGACTTATTCTCTTCTCACTTTTCTTCTCGCCCTCCCACTCACGCTCTCACGCACCCTCGCAGCGACAGACTGATTTCTACTGCAGTCTCCCCGGGTACACCCCGTCCTAAGACAGGTTCAATAATCAGTGACAATCAGGGTTCTAGGTCACGTGATGTGTAGCCTCCTCCCTGCCCAGCTAGGAGCGTCACTGGGAGACTGCCTATAGTACCGCTAGGCAGAGGGTGGGGGTGTAGCAACTATAGGTAGCTGCATAGCCCCTTCATAACACAATCATCACACCTGTTCTCACTTCAGTGATTCTTAATCCAGCACCTTCGCACCTTGGAGTCTGATACGCTTAGCGAGTCCTTGGATGTCAGGGATGCTTTGACCATTGGCTTCATGCTTCTCAAGGAATCTGAGCTTGCTCGAATCGGTGTGCTAATATTGTCGAATCCGCTAGCAGGACAACCAGTTCTGTGATTATACCTCTGTAATGCATGTCTCGAAGAGATTGATACCTCTTCGACAGCTCTGCGGATATGTCAGACTTGTACCATCTATATATGCTAGCCCTACTTTAGCCGGTACGAAGATGAGCGTCAACTGGAGGATTCCTTGTGCGAAGGTGACGGATTTCTGACCGTCAGTGATGAGGAATGGGACAATATGGAGCCAAAATATGGATATGGCGAAGAGAAAAATCAATCTTATCTGAGAAGCCTAGCTTATCAAGACGAGGTAATTCGACACCTTGCTCACCCCCTTTAGAATGAGAGTAATGTCGCTCTATAGTCACCTCCGGCTCGCACGCGGCGAGTAGGCGATTACCCATATATCACTAGTCGTAGGGGCTAAACGGTTTAGCGCTTTGATACGCACGGTATAAACCCCGGTCTTGCTTACTCTAGTAGATATGGTGAGGCCATCTCTATCCCTTTAAGCCCAGCCGCATATACGCTAGAGGTAGTTAACGTTTCCATGTATCCTGTTCTTATTGCCTGGATACCGGGAAGTCATAGGAGAGGTGCGACGGCCGCGGCACCGACATGACCATCGATGCCTCTTCCGTCGGTGTACACGCACAGTGTTGCTGAGTCCGTGGTATCGTGATAATGAAGTGAACTACATGACATAACTATGAAGGGGTCGCGTTTAAATAGACTGTAGCGCTTAGTGTGCCTAGCGGTGCTCAGTACGCTCGTAGCGCCACGTGACCCTGTTCAGCCTTACCAACGAGGCTGTGTGTTCCTTGGGATAGCTTCCTTATGCTCCGAGGCCATGCTGGTTACGACCTGGTCGCAGTGGTTCGTAACAGTATTCTCCTTCTAACAGGCAAGAAATCTGCTTCCGATCCGCCTTGTCAGACTCAATCTGCGCACAGACACTATCACAGGGCTCGCGCAGGTTGGCATCAACAATACCGGCGGTGTCAGAGACATGCATGGCTGTCATGAAGGTCGCCACCGACCCTTCAAAGAGTCTCTTTGGTCAGATTAGAGGAAGTGTGCATCTGGCCGCTGGTCTCGATCTCAGTAGCCGCACCCTTCTCCATTATGTCCTTCTCAACCTGAGCATTGGTCATGGTAGCCACGTCAGCCTGGTCGCCGTCGAAGTATTTGGCAATTTCCTCGAGCGGAACGTATCTAGTTTCGACGATGAAGAAGTAGATTACGATCAACTCGACCAACAAAAAGCAGTCATAAAATATGTAGTACCTCCAATGGAGATTGTCAAGGGCGATGCTGTTGATGTACTGATTGAAAAAGACTGCGGAGAGCGTGACAAAGGCACCCAAGGTAAGGCCTTTAGCTCGTAGCCTGTAAGGAAGAATCTCGATCATGTAGTTGGTCATCACGCCGGACCTGGTTCATAGAGTCAGCATTCGAATGTGGCGGAGGTCGCTAAAAACCAACCGGTAATTGTAGAAGAAGTTGTAAATAAAGATCATGACCACGACACCCCTACCCATGCCGTCGTTGGGATGTTGAGCATATCGAGCACTGAATATGGTCCAAATCACAAAACTGAAAAGCATGCCAATGGTGCTGGTCAGAAGAATACTTCTGCGGCCGAGTCGGTCGACGAAAAATGCGATGCACAGCGTGACGGTAAGAGACAGAGAGGCAAGACCGGAATTGATGCCTAGTTGATCCTGGTCATCCTTGATGCCAATCATGTCCATGACGATGTGCAGGTAATAAGAAACAATACCGTTACCGGACCACTGGCCGAACAGGTTCAGGCAGGCCACAAGGAAAATCCGCTTTCGATTGCCTGGCGTCTTTAAAAAGTCGATGTACCGTGATTTCTTGTCTTCTTGTTTTTCAAGAATCAACGCGGTTCGGATTTCGGTATACTCGAGGCGAACAAGTTCATCATCTTCGTTTCCGTTCGCATGATAGTATGCCAAAATCTGGAGTGCTTTCTCAGACTGATCCCTTTCAATATAAAATCGAGGACTTTCGGGAATCCACCAGATGAAAATCATCACAACCACGGTGCAGCTACATTGCAGGAGGGATGGCAGTCGCCAAGCCCAGTCGCTCTCGATTTTGAGAGTACCAAATGTAACCCAGGACCCGATGAACGAGCCGATCCCGTACGAGCAGCCCATGAATGTGACCATGACGGAACGGTCTTGCGGGTGGGATAACTCGGCGATCAGTAATGGCGCCGCACTTGCGGCGAAGATAAGGCCAAACCCCAGGAGGAAGCGAGCTGCGAGAAACATGCCGAAGTTGCGAGCGCCAGTCTGGATGCCCACACCAAGGAATATGATCAGAGAGCTAACAACAATGCCAGCTTTTCGGCCAAATCGATCGACCAAGGGAGGGACAAGTGGAAGGCCAATGATGGAGCCCAGGCTCATCGCTGAGTTGTAGAGACCAAGGATACTGCCATGAGGTTGGTTGAAATATTTTTGCCAATAGGACAGAGCCTGAAGACCATTCATCATCGAACCGTCGAATCCATTGGCAACGCCGGCAAGAACGAGCACGTAGCAGAAGAAGTAAAGCTTGCGGAGGCGCGCTGTTTCCCACCATTCCGTGCGGTCAAAGGTACGGTCTGCAAGGAAGAATTTCCCTTTGGGGGGCCTCTGGAGAGTTGGGGCCAGACCGGAGGAAGTGGGTATCTTTGGAAGAAATTTCATCTTGGCTCAAGGGTCGTAAATTGGGTAAGGAAGGGTTGTGAGAGTTGGGAGACGATGTTCTGATCATTGCAAAGCGAGGGCAATGAAGCTGCTCATATAGCTCACCTGCGAAAGGGGGGAGATCTGTGCCGGGGCCCCTCGTGGGGAACTCCACGAGCTCGCTTCGGGGTAAAAGCTAACTTGTGCAATTAGCCGCGAGTCTCCTCGATAGCTCGAGTCCATAATCGACAAAAATCCGGTGTTCTAGTAACCGCGAATTATCGGTGTTAGACTGGACTGTCTGGCGTCACTGCGGCTAGGGTATTAATCAGTAAGAAGGAGCCTTTCGGACTGACACATACGGTACAAAATCATGGCTGACACTGCACCGATGCCGAGAGCACACTATCGGAACTGCGTTCTGGTACTTCGGAACGCTTGCTTTGACTAATTGAATTTGGCTCAATGACGGAAATGATGAGCCAGGTGTAGTCGGTCGGCATAGACAGTCCACATGGCAGACATGAAAAGAAGTAGTGGTCAGCGGGTGCTAGCTATGTGCCCGTCCCAGTGAACGCAAACTTCATCACACCCACCAAGTCCGTTGGCTATGATTTATCCAGGATGGCCGAGTTATTGGTAATTACCAGGCATTCCAGTGTATTAGGGGCGGGACACACAATCCTATCCGGGAGATATAGTTGCACGGACAGCAGGTGCAGTGTCGCCGCTACTCTCCCGGGCAGACTCGAAGCCGAATAGCAGCTGGAGTGTAGTGGAGGGGATGGAGTAGCCCGAAATGAGCAGCTCTAGAATGGCTGGTCTCAAATCTACTGTAGGACTGACCTAGTAGTTGGACAACGAAGGCGGCTAACATGATGGCTAAACTACGAGACACTCGAGAACAAAGTTACTAAATTTTGTATCTTGAACTAGTCTTGAGACCCGGCAAAAGCATCGAGCTAGACTAGGAGGACCACCTTGGCCTAGTCCACTTCCAGGCCTGTGAAATGTACCTCGGGATTGCCGTCAACCACGTCATTTGCCACGGCGAAGACGCCTATCACAGGACCAACAAAGTCGAGATTGCTCATTTTGGCCGAGTCTATCGAGCCGAGAACGATGTATTCCTTGCTTCCTGGAAGGCGGTACTCACAGTGGTAGACAAGCTCCGTATACCGAAGCCGAAGCCCTAAATCACCGTGAAGATCAACAGCCTTTCTGTTGAGTAGGTGCACTTGAGCTAGTCGGCTGAAAGCTTCAAAGCAGATCTCGCCGCTGGTTGAGTCATAGAAGATCCGGATAAAACGATGCTCCTCCTTATACATCGCCAGGCCAGTTCGCAAGCCGATTTTCTGGACTCGGTCGATATCTGGGAGTCTCATGGAAGTGGAGGCTGTGCCTTCAAGAGACTTCTGCCTCACGCCAATGAAGGTGGGTGAGCCTTCTGGGTCGAGGAGGTCAATATTGCTCGGAAGTATAGTAAGTTGACCGTCTGGGCCAATGGTATACATCTTGTCATCCCTGCCTCTGATGTGGAGGAAGCCTGAAACTGCGGAAAATGTGACTGCACCATTCGATCCAGGCTGAGGGAGCTCCCGATGTCGGGCATGGGCATTGGCTGTGATAGCCACAGGAGATATCTTCGGCCAACCAGAATCTAACCATTCGACAGAGGTGATGAAGGATTCGCGACCAAGAACAAAGGAATTACCGGTCTGGCGTACGCCAAGGACAACCACCCACCAGGCACCATTGATATCTTCCACCAGTTCGCCGTGGCCTACATTTTGAATGTAGCTAGTGGTATTGAAGGCTGTAAGGATTGGATTTGCAGGACAACCCTCGTACGGCCCCCAAAGATTTTCGGAACGTGCAATTGATATCACGTGTTGCTCGAAACAACCACCTTCGGCGACCAACAGGTAGTAGTAGCCGTCCTTCTTGTACACATGAGGAGATTCAAGCCACGGTCGGCCAGTTCCTTTCCACAGTGACTTCGGCTCAGATAGCCTCTTTCCGGTCTGGATGTCAATCTCGAACTGATGGACCGAAGCATCCTTTGCGGAGGCTATTTGGACATAGACATGATCATCTTCAAAGAAGAGACTCGGGTCTCCTCCACCGTATTCCCAGTGGATTGGGTCGCTCCAAATGTTGGCGTAAATATCGTTTGTGGAAATGATGAGATGGTCAGCAACTTCACTGTTAGGTCCACTACGGTCATCCAGGATGTTGGACACAATGATATAGAAAGTGCCTGCGTGCCATCGTATGGTTGGGGCGTATAGACCTCGGTTCCCGACCATTTGTCGCTTATCATCCCACTGACTGATCTTTGACGGCGTGTTGGACAGTTTCAACTGAGAATGTCTATTAAATGCGTCACCTGTAATGTGTTAGCTGGCTTCCTTGTTATCTGCAGGATGGAACATGCCTATGTGCTGCCATGACACGAGATCCTTCGAGGCATAAACTGGGATGCCGGGAAAGAAGTGGAATGTCGAGTTGACTAGGAAGTATGTGTCGGCGACGCGAATAATGGAGGGATCTGGCGCGAAGCCTGGTATGATCGGGTTGGCTGGCACCATGCTGGGCTGGAATGAGTTGAGAGTACAGCGTCTCCTCCCCTCTCGCGAAAAACCTGAACAAGTCTGCCACGGACGCTGGCGAGCCGGATCTGACGTTCAAGATCAATATGGGTTTCCCCCGAGCAGCGTTGGCTTAACTAAATCACCTTGGTCCCGGCCGACGTAGTGTGAAAGAAGTCCCAGGGTAACTCTTCATATGCTCCAGGGCAGATTAGCCTATATCGAGCACAAGTTTGACAGTCAGTTTTCGGAGCCAGGCAGCAGTCGCTTTGGCTAAAATGTCATTAGGCTAATACGCAAGCTGTTAAGATTGTTTCCAACTCAACTTCTGTAAGTCTGCGAGGATGCCGGCTCAGGGAGAAGCTCGGCTGAGTATTTGACATGCAGGCCCTGGCAATAGACTGTTCGCTTAATTGCGGGTCCATCGGTCAACAAAGAAAACCTTCGAGTGAATACTGCCCTAGTCCTTCGACGGCGCAACGTTCATTAATACCGAACCTCACTAGCGTCGTAGTAGCGAAAGTGTTATGAATCGGACCGACGCCTTGGGGCGTCCGCGCACTCACATAGATTTCCTAGCTGGGGCACAGTGGTGTCTATAGCAATCGTAGCATTGAGAACCATAGGGTCCAACTATAGACTTAGGTTGACCATGAAGGTCCTATCTACTATGGGGAGGGAGCGTGAATATAGATTCCTGTCGTCCAATGAGCGTAGGCGCTCTGTATGATCAGTGGGGCTCTGTCTTGATTCGCTTAGCCATACTGATCGTGGCTAAAGAAGAAAAAATACTAAGATGGCGGTCGATTCTCGCTAGGTATTATTCAAAGGATACTTAGGATATCCCTATAGGTGATCGCTTTACGCGCTTTCCGGATGATACAGAGTAACTTCAATCTTAAGACTAAGTCTTCCGGCGCAATGACTCGAGACGGGATGCTTGTTTACCCCGCTTCTCCGTTCACAGAACATTCTCATACCACTCGGATGTGCATTCATTGGTCAAGTTAGACGGAGGCCCGGATTTCGATATAGCCGTTCTAGTGGACGATCGCCGGTGGCAGCAAGTGAACCGCAAGAAATGTCTTACCACTGGAAAATTCCCTAAAAACAATATCATTAAAATAGCCTAAACCAGCACATGTGTCGAATTTCTCGAGATCCGCAAGAGTCATGATCCACGTCCCATGAAGGATAGAAGACCACCGAAACTCCGAATCTGGTCTCTTTAACACTTTGGCGGAACGATTACCACCTTGTCCTTCAGCTGAGCTCCTTGTGAAGTCTGAATTTTGCAGTCATCGCTGAAGTTGCTTCATCGTGCCCTGGCAGGCCGCGATCTTCGACGACGACGAGTTTTGGCCCACAATCAGACATGGCTGATCGAGGTATCAACCCTATTGTACCTGGAATGGCACCTGACCCTTCAATTTGCTTCGTCAAAGACACCTTTTACCTAGTGAATTCAACATTTCAATTCTTCCCAGGGCTCCCCATCTATGCGTCGAAGAATCTAGTGGATTGGACACTGATTGGCAATGCTATCAATCGCAAGACTCAGCTTGATCTGACCCATACCGGGACAAGATACTGTCCACAGAAGATTGGCGAGGACTTGCTTGCCGCCGGAGGCCTCCACGCCCCGACCATACGTTATCACTCTGGCACTTTCTACATTGTCTGTACCAATGTCACGCATCCAGAGGGCCAGAATCCCGAAATGTCCTTCGAAAATTTTATCATCACAACGAAAGACATTTGGGCAGACCAGTGGAGTGATCCGGTCTATTTCGAGCTGTATGGCTTCGACCCAAGCTTGTTCTTCGACGATGATGGAAAGGCCTACATGATAGGCACCCAGGAGCCTGGCCCGAGTCTCAATATCATCCAGTATCAGGTCGACGCAAATACCGGCAAGAAGTTGTCTGAGAAGAAAGTCATTTTCACGGGCATTTCAGCATACTTTCCGGAGGGACCACACATGTACAAGAAAGACGGATGGTATTACCTTCTTATCGCCGAGGGCGGGACTCACGAAAACCACTCGGTTAATATTGCTCGATCGCACAGCATTTGGGGTCCTTTTGAATCTTGCGAACACAACCCCATCCTGACCGCCCGCGGAACGGACGAGTATATACAACATGTGGGCCACGCAGACTTGGTCCAAGATGCTCGAGGGGAATGGTGGGCAGTCTGCTTAGGCGTGCGAAAAAGGGACCATCGTCGATATGTGCTTGGGCGGGAGACCTTCTTAACGAAGTGTACGTGGCCCCAAGATGGATGGCCTTCGCTTGGAATCGTTGGGCTTGCCCTTCCTCAAGGTACTGAAGTCCCAAAAGCTCGAACCCAGCTACCATCTGCGAGATCGAAGGAGGCCGAGTTCCTAATGATTCGAGATTTTGATCCCAATGGAGTCCATGTTAGCGAAGATCGAATCATATTGACGCCCAAGCCTGGCGACTTTTCGGATGTCGTTGGTCAAATCGCATTCGCAGGCAAACGTCAGCGTTCCCTTAACGGATCCGCAAGCTTGACACTCCTCACTGGAGCTGAGCAATCGGGCTTGAAAGCAGGGCTTGGGTACTACAAGGATGAATTTCGACATGCTCGGTTTTACTACGACTTTGCGATGTCTACAATCGGCATGGAAGTGGTCAACAGCATGACCTCTCCTCGGACGCACCTTGTGCAGCAGGTGGAAAGGACTGCGAGTATCGATCTGCGTTTGCAATATACTGAGACATTGTACACTTTTGCTTTTCGTGTCCATGGAGCAACTGGCTGGACGACATTAGGCAGTTTCGATGCGGCGGATGTGACTGCCTATGACTTTATCGGCCCTGTAATAGGTCCTTTCGCGCAGGGCGCTGGAGTTCGCAGACCGGTCGAGTTTATTAACTTCGAGGTGGCATAGCTGAGTGTGTTGACCGGGTAGATATAGAAGGTTGTACTTGAAGGCAAGGTAGCTAAACTTCAAATCTGGATCATATTTCAAGGCTCACGGAATAAATTGCTTTTACTGTGGTTGTTTCGAAAATGATGCAGCGACTTAGAGCCATCCGCGTTTGCATGGCACCGATGTCAACTGACCACGTGTGCTTCTGGTCGTCCTCCAAAGAACACGAATCATGTCTTGTCGCCACGGCGGTTACGACAGAGTTACACGCTTGCTGCTCAATCGTTCAAGTGGAGTAGAGATACGTTGTCCCCTGTCTGTCTATATGTTACCAAAGCGTGGTCTAGTCAACGAGTTCGTTGACTCTTTGCCTCTCGAAGACTGGCATGGTCTTGAGCGGCGCGTCAACCTCGATGGTTTGGCCACCTTCATATACCTCGGGCCCTCCAAATTTCCTCCACTTGCTCCCACTCGGTAAATACACTGATCTCTTCATTTGACCAGCATTAAACACGGGACAACAAAGATATTTATCGCCGTACATGTACTGATCGCAGATCTCCCAGCACATTTTATCCTTGGGAAACTCATAGAATAGCGTCCTGATGACCGGGGTGCCTCGCTCGTGGGCAGCCAACATCAACTGCTTGGTGTAAGGTCGCAAAGTTTCCCGAATTGAAATATGTTCTTTGCATATCTCGTATACCTCGTTTCCATAAGACCAGATCTCATTCGGAGCACCAGAGCGACATATTGCTCCGCCCGTGGTCCCGTGCTGAGGCTGTTCAGGCAATCTGGCGCCGTGCATGCGCATGACGGGACAGAAGGTGCCGAATTGAAACCAGCGACAGAACAACTCCTGGTAAGCCGGGTCGTTTGGGTCGCCACCAAGGAAGCCTCCGATGTCCATGGTCCACCAGGGAATTCCCGCCAGACCGATATTGAGCCCGGCAGAGAGTTGATTCCGAAAGGCCGTCCATGTGGCGGGTACATCGCCGCTCCAAATCAGCATGCCGTATTTCTGGCTGCCTGCCCACGCACAACGTGACAGGTTCAGGGGGTTTTCTAGGCCTGCCGCTTTTTGGCCCTCGTAGAACAGTCGGCCGTGTTCTCTGGGATAGATGTTGCCGATACTAAGATTAGGACCAAGCCAGTATCTGTAATTATCGAAATCGTAATTGGTGAATTCAGGCTCATTTTCGTCCATCCAGAATACCTTGATCCCTTTGTCATAGTAGTTCTGTTTGAGCTTGTCCCACACAAACTGACGGGCCTCGGGATTTGTCGAGTCGGCGAACATGGTTGTAATGCCGTTAAGGAAGATCTGAGACACTCGAACACCGCGGTCTGCTCGGATAAGGTATCCCTTTTGCACCATTTCCTTATAGTTAACCGAATCGGACTGGACGGTGGGCCAGACGGAAACCATGACCTCGATTCCCATGTCATTTATTTCTTTGATCATCTTCTCTGTTACTCATTAGGTGCATTCCTAATTGTGAAGGTGGGATGCTTACCGGGATCAGGCCAATAGGTAGAGTCAAACGACCAATTTCCCTGCTTTTCCCAGTGAAAGAAGTCAACGGCGATGACATCGATCGGTATTTGCCGGCGTACATGCTCCCGGGCAACCTGGAGGAGTTCATCTTGTGTCTGATATCGCAACTTGCACTGCCACATTCCAAGGCCATAGTCCGGCATCATCGGCGCTTTCCCGGTAACGTTGGCGTAGTTTTCCACGATCTGTGCAGGTGCATCACCGGCGGTGATCCAGTAGTCGATACTTTGGGTTGAATAAGCTTCAAACGTCATTCCATTTGTTGCGAAGCTTGCTCTGCCAATGGCCGGATTATTCCAGAGCAAACCATAGCCAAGCGAAGACACTGCGAAAGGAATGCTAATCTGCGAGTTTCGGTGCGCCAACTCAAGATCGGCCCCTTTGAGGTTAAGTAATGGCTGCTGATACTGGCCCATGCCGTAGATCTTCTCATCGCTGGAGAGTGATTCGAAGCGCGTCGTGACATGATACTTCTCTGTGCCCAAGATCGGCCTATGTTGGCGAGGATAAATTTCCATCGCACTTGATGTTGGCTCGTAGAAGTCGATGCGATTGTGAGATCGCTCCTTTAGTAACACGTCTCCTGCAGAATTTGTGATGGTGATTTTTCCAAATGTAGTAACTTCTGCCTTGATGGAGCCATTGACAATGGATGCACCCTCGTCTCCAATGGTGATAATTGGAAGTGGCGACTCTATGGACAAAAGCGCCCAGTCTTCTGATGGTATACGATTCTGCTTCGTGGCTCGGATACGAAAAGCATCCTTGCCCCATGCTTCGATCCAGAGGGTCTCCCCATCGTACTGGAAGACCAGTCGGCTGTCTTGTTTCGTGAGCATGATTCTTGAAGGTAGTTCAGAGTTCTGATACACGGATCGCCCAATTCTCAAATTGACGAGGTTGATATATTGAGTCCAAGGCTGAAGTACAACTTGACAGGATAACACAAATTAGCCTATATACTTTCCCCAGGTTTGAAAGGACCCATTTTAGCGGTGGACTATTCCCGTAAATGTCCGGTGGTTGACGTGCCCGGCCATTCGCGTATACAATAGCTTCGGTGATTACCATGCCCAGCCGAGAACAATCAATGTTAGAACTAACTTAATCAATATAACCGGCCCATGTTATTGTCCACTTGCTCCCGGCCGCCATAACAGCGACGTTAGACAATTCATGTTGAACGACGCCAGCATTTAACTGTGAGACACAAAAGGTGCGAGACCGGTGGCCATCCCAGCCACGTTGTCGGATTGTCTCATGCCAAATGGCGGGCCTTCTTTCTCACTTTTCTCCCTGGCCTTTCTTTATCAACGGGGTTTGACTGCGCTGCTCACTTGGCAGATGAGATTCTTCGGCTCGCTAAGAACATTCCTCGAGTGATGACCATACGAACGATTTTTGTCGGTCTATCTCCAATCCCGCCCATGTTTGCACTGCCTTCAGGACGTCGGCAGCCTGCTAAACCCGGTCGGTAACCAGCCATACTTACAACTTCTACTGAAAAGTCTACATAGTAGAGGCCTAGACATGTTCATCGGGATAATGATTGTTATTATATAAGTATGTACACTTGTCATTTGTGGCCACTGAACGTTGGGCCAAGCCTATTCGGTCGACATCTGCAGCATTAGACAACTGGCCAAATGGTGCGATGATACGCTCGGCAGTGACACAAATCGAGCAGCCATTGAATAAGAATGACTGGGCTGCAATCCGAGCACTCTCCAGGAAGACTTACTGGGAACGAGTTTGGATTGAGCAAAAAGTCTCTTTGGCTCAGGAGTGTCTCCTAGTCTGCAGAAAGCACGACCTCGATTCCAGAAAGCTCCTGTGATGCTAGAGGACCTGGATCAGTGGAGATCTTCGCATGCCAGAATTGGACGGGATCCTGAGGGCTGCAACGCTCAGGACCCAATTCTACACTTTCATGAGATTTTCACTAGAAAGTGAAGACGCTAGTGCAGGAGTATCCAAAAGCCGCAAAACGAGTCTAGCACCGACCTGCGGACGAGGGCTTCCCAGGCCACCTTTCCTTCTGAAAAGGGCCTCCGTTCTCTCGGCCACTGATGCGAGAGACAAGATATTTGGGCTCCTTGGATTGGCTTAGGTCCAAGATCTGCCCATCCCTGTGGATTATGAAAGTACTGTCGACGAGGCCTACACGAACGCTATCCGGGCTCTGATCCAACATTCTGAACGTCTGGACATTCTCGAATTTGCTGGCGTTGGCAGCATAAATCAGAATTCGCGAGACTCTCTCCCTTCATGGGTGCCCGATTGTCGATGTCGCGAGTTTGATCTTAGGTTCTGCGAAGATGCACCCTCTTATGCTACCATGCTCTTTAACGCCTCAGTCGACACGAAAGGGGACTGCAGTTTCCCTTCTAAAGATAACAATCACCAAATCCAGATAAGAGGGCTCATGTGCGACGAGATTTCTGAGTTCGCTGAACAGAATTGGTCTCCTGAGGAGCGAATATACAGATGGGTCGAATCCGTGCTCTCGAATCACGAGCAATTCAAATATTAACGGGGAACCCTTGCTTCAAATCTTATCAAAGACTGTGATCATAGACCGCCTTTGGCGCGGCTTCGATACTCCAAAAGTTCTTTCCACTCATCTGGAGTACGAGTTTTGCTCCATGGCCGCTTGTTTTTTGACAGCTGTGAAGTATATTTACAAAGGCAGAGCGCTTCCCGACTTCCGTCAGGGAGATGAGGTGGTGGTCGTGACGTCCAGGAGATTGAATCCCAGAGCGAAAGAGATCTTGGACAAACTGCTGGAGGACAAAACAAAGGCAAGTGTCGACAAAGAGCTCAGCCTAACTGTCCTGATTGAAAACTTTCTTAGCAAGAGCCGCATGCCTGGCTGTTTGGAATGATCAAAGATTCTTGATATCAGCCGAGACGAAGCCAACCTTCGAAGATTTCGTTTTAATCTCAGAATGACGGATCAAAGATGTCTCTTCATCGCTTAAAATGTGTACATGGGTGTAGAGCCGGGCAGAACTAAAAAGGGTGACAAAGGTTTCATTCCCCTCGGGTGCTGCTTACCAGTTTCCGTTCGAAAACATGGCGAGGCTTTTAGCTGATTGGTGACACATTCGTCTGCGGAATGATGCAAGGGGAGATGATGCTCAAGACTGGGGAGGGTGCTCCCTCTCTGGAGGACATTGATTTAAAGTAGCTGGCTGTATTGTGCAGTGTGGTCGCCCACGTTTATTGGTGATATTGCACAGGAAACAGTATGAAGTCGATTCCAATTGAACGAGAATTCCAACTCGATTCTTTTTCCATTCCGAGAATCATTCTTTTGACCTATGGTGCAACAACTTACAAGTGGTGACAAAGAGTCGGATTTAGAGTCTCTGATAGAACCCAAGAGGGGTAGGGAGCTTCAAGGCCACCACAACCCGAGTTTCGGGGCGATACAGTAGGGTCTCAGGAGTGAGTCTGAGCAAAGGCTGGAGGAAGAGGGCGACACTCAAGAGCAAAGACAATGGGGTCAAGAATGAAACAGTGAGGACTTCATTTCAGTGACTCTAGGTGACTAGTCAACCAGCTCATCCTGAGCCTCTCAAGACCTTGAAATCATATCACTGTATCTTGACTAGCAACTTTGGGTGTGCCTCATCAGTAGTCTCCATGACACACATCCATGGCCTACCGTGCTTCTTCATCATTTCGAGGAAAGAATTCCTGATGTATTATTATTCATCATGAGCGCGTATCCTTCGTTCAATAGTTGGCAGACTTGTACAGCAACTTTTCCTTGTTGTCCTGTTGCTTCACCCAGATCGCGGCCTTTGTGTCCTTGTCGGCCTTTCCGACCTTCAACGCGAACTTGCTGACCTCGAAACTCGGGCCGCCCATCAATTGATTCGTCACCCAGACAGGGGCCCCGGCGAATGACTTGGTGCCCGACCCGTCGTCCAGGGCAGCACCGCAGGAGCACCCGTTGACGGTGGAAAGGTAAGCTCTTCCCACCTCGCGGTCACCGTCCCAGACGTAGTTGAAAACGCACGTGAGCTGCGCAGGGGTAGAAGTCACTGGTGATGTCTCTGTCCGATTCAGGACGACCACGACTTCTTTGGCAGTCATGTTTGGGAACAAGCAAGGAACGGTTGGTGATTATTGGTAACCGAGGCACGAGTAATGGGTAGAAAATAAAACGATGGATACTGTTGTCGTTGTTTGTTTTCGAGCTTGACGGACCACCTACCAGAAAGATAAACACCAACGAGTGTACCATCTCGATATTTATACCTTTTTGCCCAAGACCTGAACTGCCAAGGGCAATGACTTGACGTGTTGTATTTTTTGGGTTGGTTTCTATACCTTTTGAGGCGCATGTGAGCTGAATCTTTGGTCTTACGTAAATCGATGCAGGGCTCAATGAAATCAATGCAGCGTGATGTGGTCGAATACGAGATATTGACATTCTCCTCGTGCAGAAGCTGAACCTTCAAGCAGCCGTCACATGGTTTCGAGGCCCATCGAGTCGGCGAAAAATCTCAAAGGCTGGCTGAGACACTGCAGGGTCTTTGAGGTGTCAAACGAGGCTGAGGGTCTAGACTCGCCTTCCAAGACGTCACCCTTGGGTTGCAAGATGCAGGGTAGATTTTCATGACCCATTGAGCTATTGATTCTACTTTTCAGTAGGACTTTTCTTGTTCGTGTCTGGCCTTGAAATCAAGCACTTTTATCGCCGAGATGATGCTTTGTCATCATCGACATGGCCTCGTTTTTTTGTGGGTCGACGATGAGTTTCAACCGCCGAGTCGGCGGAGGAATCGACGGATGTTCATGGGGATCTTCAAACATTGAGCCGTCAATGATGTCGGGATGAAAGACACATACCGCCATCACCGGAAACATCTGACCGAGAGCGGCGTTTCCATTTAGCTTTTATTTCTCTCGTAAAAACATGAACGCGGAACAACGGTATGAGAGTATCGAAGTCGAAGCCAAACGCAAAAGACTCCGAAAAGGGACGCACAGTTGCTGGGAATGCAAGCGGAGAAAGGTTCGATGCACATTTGCTTCTCCGGCAGATTCAACTTGTATCACCTGCCAACGGCGCGGTACACGGTGCGTCGGCCAAGATGTCCCCGAGGAAGAGTGTCCAGTCGAGGATGGCGCAACAGGCAGCATGGAACGTGTCGAGGCACTTCTGAACAAGCTGGTCAAGACCATCGACCACACGACAACGACAGAAAACCGACCAAGAAGACAGCCAGTGGAGGCCCAGGCGAGCCGTAGTGACAATGATCCAAGATCATCAGCCAGTCGACAACCACAGCCTGCTGCACCTCCGACGGTGGCCACGCGTGATTCTTCGTCGGTACGCACTGAGAACTCCCATTGTCTCTCGATCATTCATTTTATTGATTCCCATGCAGGTAGTGTCACATCTTCGAACTACGAGAAATATCAATGCTCATCTCCCACCTCCATCATATCGCACACCAGATTCGCAACCATCTCCAATATCCCAAATGTCAGCATCCAGAACAAGTAGTCTCAACCAGATCTCACAAGCCCTCCTTGCAGCCTTTCCTTCTCAGAGCGACATCGACATTCTACTCAAAGACGACGGCGGCATTTGTACCATTTGCCCTCAAATTAGCTCCATGTTCTCCGGCAAGGACGGCGGAGGCGGTATGATTCGGGAGCACACAGGAAATGCTGTCAAAGTTGCCGGGCCCCATGTCCATCCAGTTCTCCTGGCCAAACACATGCTTACTTTGTCGGCGCTATTGATGAGTTTCCCACCTCATGAACGGATACCAGGTGTGATGGAACACCATCATGGTATCATGATGAGACTTGCAGACACGGCCATCAACCTGGTGACAACGAACGAAGAGCTTCTGGGTTCCGTCGAGAGTCTCGAATGCGTCCTACTCGAAGGACAACATCACTCGAACTGTGGAAACATCCGAAGGGCCTGGCTTGCGCACAGGAGGGCCCTGATGGTGGCTCAACTTTACGGAGTAAATAGGCTCAACGGACCCACCCCGAAAAGACTCGACCCGGAACCATCAAACAGCAGCATGCAGACCTTGTGGACGCATGTCATATATGTCGACCGATTTGTCTCTTTGATGCTCGGTCTACCTCCCGGTAACACCGACTTCAACCCCGAGACACACGCACCACCAACGGCCGGAAAGCCAAGGGAGAATCTAGAGTCCCTCCACGCGGTGGTTTCCGTGAAGATCTTCCAACGAAATCAGTTGACTCCCTCGCAACAAGTCGTGATCGACACCCTCGACATCGACAAAGAACTTCGCAAAACGGCCGAAAGCCTTCCCGCCAACTTCTGGAGGCCACCGGAGTTCACCGAGATGCAAGAGAACACCAACGAAGCCCTGAAGGAGACGATGCGAGTCAGAGATCACGTCACTCACTTCTCCCTGCTCAACCAACTCCATCTGCCGTACTTGCTGTGCCCGAACGTCGGTGTGAACGAATACTCCCGGACGTCATGCACGTACGCCAGTCGCGAGATCTTGAGTCGATTCATCATCTTCCGCACCTTGAGGAAACTCTCGTCGTGCTGCCGTCTGGCCGATTTCCTGGCCGTCGTGGCCGGCATCACTTTGGTATTGGCACACATCGACAGTCATCGCCTGGCAAGATCTGGTAACAACGCGCTCATCCATCAACGCCTTGGAGACCGAGCGACGGTGGAGAAGGCTCTCGAGAAGGTCGAGGTCATATCGAGGCCGAATGACGACATGATGACGGCCAAGTGCGCGGATGTTCTGCGTCGATTGCTCCGTATCGAGGCAGATGCAGCTCAGTGGCATGAAGAAGGAGGGACCATAGGCAACGCTCAAGGAGCTGAAGGTGGTCATGGAGACACAAAAAACGCTTTGTTCATCACGGGCCCATACTGTGGTACCTTTAAGGTCTCAAATTTTGGGATCGAGTTTTTGAGTGGACTGGAGAGCACACTGCACTCGAGTGATGGATTCATGCTCGGCGGTATAGGCATGATCCATGTCGTTGATGATGGTGATGATGGGATCACAAACGAGCAAGAGTTACCGACGGCTGGATTTCCAATGTTTGACAATAATGTTACACCGCCCTTTACGAACGACCAACCACACACGGTCCTCGTGGAAGATACACAGGTCCCCTCCACCACCGACGCCCTCCCTTCGGACGATTTTATGATGCAGGACGACGACGACAACCCCAACAGCAACAACATGTACCCTGGCGTAACGACGACGGGTATGATGAACGAGTGGACGATTCCTGGCGTTGACTCTACCTTTTTCGACAGTTTGATGATGATGCAGACTGAGGCGGATACTCAGATTGGTGGCATCGACAATGAAGGACCGTCGGCAGCAGGCGCGGATTGGGATCGATCTGTGAATGTCCCTCCAACTGTCAACCGTACAGCCATGTACTTGGCATCCCAACCACCTGTACTATAGACTAGGAGATAGACTGCCCCCTAATTCCCCACTTTTCATGAAGAACAGACAACAGAGGTTATCCCAGTCTCTGACCCGTTCAACCCTCTGACCGTTTCGTACTATGCAAGGTGATTTCGGCCTGTAAATAGTGACGTATTTCACAGAGCCTTTTTCGTCAAAGCCGGACTTGGTTTCATTTCAAGGAGATTGACTGACTTCCAAGAGACTGGGGCGGTTCTAAACTTTACGAACATATACCATAGACTATGGATGATTGATTTATGCATGGACTAGCAATGTCCATGAATCTGTCTGTACGTACATAATACACCTGATTCGTCCAATTATATGACTAGAATCATAGCCCCAGACTCCCAGCCCTGGAAATGCAACGAATATCGAGTGGCCAAGATCTATGAGATGTGTACATGAGTAGCGTACACAAGTCAGGTAGCAAGTGTAAACTCAAGAGGGTGTGTAAACGCTTCAAGCGGCAGCAGCTCCGGCTGCCTTTTTCAGTTGTTCCGGGTGAAGTCTCTTCCAACTCGAACACAACGAAACCAAAAAGGCCGCCCCAAAAGTGCCAATGCAGATTGCAAACACGGTTGTGAGCCCATGCATGTACGCGGCCACGATCCCCGGGATCTGGGCCGCTGGAAAAACTTTACGGATCTCGGTGGCTCCCGTGACAAGGACCAGCGCAGGGTTGACGTCGGGAGCGGTGGATGACAAGGTCGAAATCAATTTGTTGTTGAAGGCCGACTGGGCCGCCGAGAGGGTGAATGAACCACCTATCATTTGGAAGACTGTGGAATAGCACGTAATGAATCAGTGGTTGGGACACTAAAAGAATGGTCGGAGGAAGAGGGAAAAAGACGGAGGAGAAGAGAATGGTTGGTTTTCGAAAGACCATTTCAAGTTATGAGTCTTGCAAGGACTCAAGGAGTACTCGTAGTAGTAGTTGTGGCTGTTGTCAAACTCACAAAAAATCATCGCTGTAGCTGCGGACATATCCTCCGGTTTCGCATTGACCTGGACCACGGCAATGGTAGTCTGGAACGTGAATCCAATGATGATACCACTCAAAATCTGATATCCGATCCATTTCCCTGTCGAAGTGTGGGTGTCAAGGGTATAAAATAGCCCACAGGATACCATGCCAATTGCAGATCCAAGGATCAAAAACGGAGCGGGATATCCGACCTTGGACAGAGCCACTCCCTGGGCGATGGCTCCAATGGTGAGCGTGATGACCAGTGGAAGGTTGCGCACGCCGGATCCGATGGCGCTGACGTCGAAGACGCTCTGGAAGTAGATAGGTAGATAGAACAAAATGATAAAGTAGGATCCGGCGAAGAAGAATTGGAAAATGCAGCAGACCCAGACGAGGCGTTGTTTGAACTGTTACAGTCACGAAAGTCAGCCGGGCCAGGTCATTTCTTCTGAAGTGAAGAACTTTAGAAGTAGGTTAAGGAAATAGAATGTGCAGTGAGTACAGTACATACCAAGCGAGGAATTAACATTGCTCGTTCACCCTGAAAAATTTCCCACGATATAAACGCAGCAGTAATGACGACAAACCCGACGAGCAGGCCGATGACCACACTGCTACTCCAAGATTCGGTCTGTCCGCCACGCTGGAGCGCGAGGATATACGAGACGATGAAACCCATGACGAGAGCCGCGCCGACGAGGTCGAGTTGAAGGTACTTTTCTTTGCGAGTGGCTGGAGCTGGTTTTGCGGCCGCCGGGGTGTGGAAGAAGATCAACAGCATTGCCACGGCCAAGCCGCCGATGGGCAGGTTGATGTAGAAGCACCATCTCCAGCTGACCTTGTCGGTGAATGCACCGCCGACTAGAGGGCCCAGGACGGCGGCGATTCCATATGTGGCTCCGTTGAACCCAATCACCGCCGGGCGAGACTTGGGTTCGACAATAAACCCGATGATGGTGAATGCGCCTGTTCCCACACCGGCACCGCCGAGACCAGCGATGGCCCGGCCGACGATCAACGCCGTGGGGCCTGGTGCGACGGCACAAATCAGACTGCCCAACTCGAAGATGGCGATGGAGGTCAGGTAGTAGAACTTGAGGTTGAAGTACTTGAAGAGTTTGCCCCAAGTGGACTGGAATGTGCCAAATGTCATGAAATATGCCGCGCTGTACCACGAAACGTTGTCGAGACCGTGGAATTCGTCAGTGATTCTGGGAATCGCTGTGGCAAGGATAGTCTGTGGGCAGCGAGGATGTGTTAGCTTGATTTGTGGCTGTGGGTGTTTTTATGGGTATGCATATACTGACATTGTCTAGAGATACAAGGAAAGTCGACAGCATCAAAGACACGACCACAATCGCGAGTCGCTTGCCATGATAGTAATCACCCGTAGCTTCGTCGAGAGGTCCCGAAGACTCAGGAAGTGTAACATGGTCTTCAGGCTTCTGGATCTCTGAAAGGTTGGAACTTTGGGGAGTGTCATAGTCGTCTTGCCCCTTTGCAGGCCCGGGATGAGAGCTTGTCATGTCCAGATTTCCAGGATATCACGCAGCGTTTGGAAGATGTGTTTTCGAGAGGTCTGACTGTCGAAGTCAAGTGGGTGTGAGCGTTCAAGGATGACACGCTGTGATGGAAATTATGTTCTAACTCGAGTGAGTGTGAGGCCTCCGGCTCTTTCTTATATGAACTCGATGTTACGGATTCTCGGACGAGAACAACTCGAGGCTTTCAGCCTAGATCGTTCCAAGTCCGAGATTGACAGCATCGCGTGCTTTGATTTCAAAGTGCTCCCGGGGATGGTCCTCCACTGTACAGACTTACGCCCGAAGCTGAAATCAGGACTCATCGTGTTGTTCCGCCGAAGCTCGGAGAAGTGATTAGGAGATTCGGGTAGGTTTGACACCGGGCTCCAGTGGTTGAATCCAGTACTTATGCCTAAAGATCTTAACTGGAGACACCTACCTTAATCCTGTACGTATGTATGCTTTGTTACATCTCAAAGCTGTGGGCAGCAGATGAAAGGTGAGGACAAGGGACAAGACTCGGAGTAAGAGTCCCGTAAAAAATACATACGGTGGACCTCAGAGTCCATAATGGCAATTTAATTGCTTGGCGTTCCTGACAGTACGTATAGATATTCTGTGCATCGCCATATCCAGGCCCGGGGCCTTTCTTCTTCACAATACGACTCCAAACATTAAAGCGATAACAGTATGGAGGTCGCCCTATTACTTTTTGACAATGATCGTAAGTCCAACGCCCTGCCCAGAGAATCAACGACAGGATTTGCGGCAGTGTTCTGAAAGACCTGAATGCCGCCCACGAATAGTGCACAGCCAGCCAGATACGGGAGATCCCATCTAAGCTGTTTCCGGTTTCCTGCCTGACACGAAATGCCATCTCAGGTATATGTGTAACGTGGGATCCCGAAATTCACGTTTGACCTGGGCCATTGCGACCTCGGTACGCTCCCGACTATGACCCAGTATCCGGACGTAGTATGCGAGCATGAACGATGGGACAGACTGGGTCATCTGCACTCGCATCAGTCTTCCAAGCTCCTTCAACTTGGGATCCCTGGCCCAAGGTCCAATAGGGATCTGGATCACGTCAGCGGGCAAGTCTCAAGGAGAAGGGGGGAGAGTGCAGCAGTGATGGCCAACCTTGTGGACAACTTCCCGGACGTCCTGGAATCCAGCGTCGATCATCCATTGACGGTGTTGATGGGCAATGTTGAGCTTCTTTCCGAACATGATGCTGGCCCTGTCCACTTCATGGATCCATTCGGTGCACGCGGGGGCCCGATCCATGCCACCGTCGTCACTGTTCAGCCAGCATTCGTGGTCCTGCATCTCCAACCACCCCCCAGGACACAAGTTGTCGTACGCCTGGGCGTACAGCTTCGGCCAATCCGCGATGCCCCCGCACAAGGCGCGGGCGTGGATAAAGTCAAACTGTCCAACGTCATCAAAGACCCAGTCGCTCTCGGCATCGTCGACATAAAACCTCAGGTTGGGCGGGACCCAGGCGGTCTGGATGGGAGAAAGGTCGGTGCCGATGACGGTGGCCGACGGGTAGAGGTCGGCACACTCGACGGCCCAGATTCCGGTTCCTGTGCCAATGTCGAGAATACGTTGAGGTGACGACGGGAGCTGGGTGATGAACAGATCCCCTCCTAGGATCATCTTGAACAGATGGTGCAGCAGGTCGAGACGGTCTTGTTCCTCCTCGTCGTTGGGGATCGGATACTCCCCATCCCGAAACGCGTGGTAGGTGCGGCCATTTTCGTATCTGTAGGCGTAGACCGACGACCGAAGAGACGTGCTCAGTCGCGATTGATTATCGTCGGAGAAGGCGGAGTCGGTGTCATCTTGTGCTGTCTGGTAGAAAGAAACCAAAAAAGGAATCGCGTTGATTAATCGCTGTCCACAACCAAGCTTGATATTAAACATCCAAAAACACTCACCACTGACGCGTCTTCGGCGGAGATGAATCCATCATCACCCGCCGGCGCTGGATTTTCGTTGTCATTCATCTAAAGCACGTTCGGCTAGAGAGAGAACATTTGGGATAACGACCAAAGAAGGCTTCAAGAGTGCAATTGACCAGTCGTGAAGCAATGAATCGGACCATCTGTTCACGGTGAAGACGTGATGTTTGAATTTTTCATTTCTTAATTTGAGTTGTGTCAATGTGATTGTGATAGAGTTGTTGTCTGGCAGCAGCATGTGCGCCAGGAGGACCTCAGACCGTCAAGTTAAGCCTTTATTTCAGCGTAGAAAGCGTTTCCGTGACAGGCCAACATCGGCGGGGGGCTTCGGTACGATTAGGGATGCGAGGTGGATTGCCCACGTTTGGCTGGTCAAACATTTCTTGGTTCTTGAGGGACCTGTTATCTACTGGAGGAAGTATGTACGTATGTACGGATATGCAGAGTGCAGCTAGAGCCTTTTTCCAGAGGCGAGCGTGTTGAAAGGCTCTGGATCGTCGACAGCTCCAAAGAAAAAAAAGAAACAACGCGAGGAAAGCTTCTTGCTTTTCTTCTGCCGGGCCGTTCCCAAGCTCCCCTAGGTACGAACACGTACTCCGTACTCCGTCAAGGGAGACTCAATATGGGGGTGACAGCACATCAGTGTTTACCTAGATTGATGCATCATCCGCTCCCCCGAACCATTCACCTACACCATGACGGGGTACTAGCAAAGCTTGGAGGGAAACATACGTCCGCTGACTCCCCCTCGAGGGCCTCCAATAGGCATGATTATGGGCGTCGAGAGGGCCCCCGTCGGACTAGATACCTAGACAAGGCACTCCGTAGGTTAGGGGCTTCTTACAGTAAGCATCCTTTGCGTGTTCGGCGTAGTGGCCAACGGGGGGAGCCACAATACCCGACGCACCGACCGGAGACGGCGTGAAGTTAGCGTTGCACAAGAGGAGGGGAATGTTGGTCCTTTATCGACTTGTCGCCGGCCAGACGATGCTACACACCCTCCAAACCTGGCCGCATCCATAGAGGGTGGGCTGACTTGGCGCAAAAACAACCTGCATACTTTCTCCCCCCTTGCTGGACCTACTGTACTTCACACTGATCGCTTATACACACCCCCGGTGCCGAGAGGGGGGAGAATTGCACATTTCACTCAGTCCCAGAGCATTTGATCGACCTTTTGCTTTGTTTCAGTATCTCAGGCGTGCCGACCGACGGGGGGACAACCACGTTTCAATATGGGAGCCTTCTCAGTCATCGCGTCGCCGATCTCCAGTCTCCTCGGGGCCTACGTCCTCTACCTCGTGGGATTGGTTATCTATCGCCTCTACTTTCACCCTCTCGCCAAGTTCCCCGGTCCCAAATACGCCGCCATCAGCAGGTGGCATGAGTTCTACTATGAGGTTGTCAAGCAGGGACAGTTCACCTTCAAGGTCCAAGAACTCCACAAGCAATATGGTAGGTTCGAGGTTTCAGGCTTGAGCTCCCAGCGGCAATCGTTCTGAACCGACCAGGTCCCATCGTCCGGATCGTTCCCGACGAGATACACATCCAAGACTCGGAATTCTACGACACCCTATACACCAAAGCTGGGCGCGTGGACAAGTATGACTGGATGGCTGGTCGATTCGGTTGTGATACGTCTGTCTTCACCACCGGGCCCGACGAAGTCCATCGAGTCCGCCGGGGTGCGCTGAATCCATTCTTCTCGCGGGCACGTATCCTTGACCTGCAGGACATCATCAGACAGAAATTGGACGTCTTGTTAGCTCGAATCCGTGAATTCCAAAAGGATGGCAGAGTTTTGCGACTGAATCGGGCTTTCATGGCCTTCACCGGCGATGTAGTGATGGAATACTGCTTCTCCCATAGCTACGACCACGTCAAAGGCGAGAACTTCGACGAGACCATGCACGAACCCTTTATGGCTGCAAGCATCAGTGGACATCTCTCGTTGCAAATGCCCTGGGTTCCGAAGATTCTCAACATGCTTCCAGAATCAATGCTGATCAAAATCGAGCCCCTGTACGCTCTTGTGTTCCGAATGCAAGCAGTGAGAGACTCTCAAGCTCCCATATCATATTGTCAGTACCCACTAACGAGTTGCACTAGGACTTGCGTCGACAGATCCTTGCTCTCAAAGCAGGCGATCTGAAAAATGCGGACAAGGGATCGACACATCCGACTGTCTTTCAGGAACTCATCGCAGGTCCAATGCCTGCCTCTGAACAGGAAACTCGCCGCCTTCAAGATGAGGCACAACTTGTAGTGGCTGCCGGTGTCACCACCACGGGTTGGGCCCTCTCGACCGCGGCATTCCACCTGATCAACAATCCACCTGTCCTGGCACAATTGCGCAAGGAGCTCGAAGCCGCCATCCCCGACCCCTCCTCCCCCTTGTCCTGGACCGAGCTCGAGAGATTACCCTTTCTCACAGGTTGCGTCCGGGAGGCAGTACGCATGTCATACGCAGTTACGACACGGAATCCGCGGCTTTTCTCCAGACCTATGGTATACAAGAATTGGGAGATTCCACCACGCACGCCTATCTCAATGACCATCGTAGATGTATGCGACGATGAGGCGATCTTTCCAAACCCCAGAAAGTTCCAGCCAGAGCGATGGATGAATGCACCCAAGACAAAGGACGGAAGCAGTCTTGAGAGGTATTTCGTAGGATTCGGCAAGGGGACACGATCTTGCCTAGGAATTAAGTAAGTTCTTTGTTGTCGGGAGGATCACTCTTCTAGCCTTGTCGCAGTTGCTAACTCGCCTTTCTTCCTCTCCACAGCCTGGCCCATGCCGAACTTTACATGGCCCTTGCTGGGGTCTTCCGCAATTTCAACTTTGAACTTTACGAGACCGACTCCTCTGACGTTGAGCTGGCTCATGATTTCTTTCTGCCGAGTCCGAAGTTGGACAGCAAGGGAGTCAGAGTCAAAGTTTTGGATGCTTAGGATTGCATTTTGATGTTTTGGGAGAGTGAAAAGGACTCTGGCTCTGTGATGAATATGCCATAGCAGAGGTCGGGATGAGAGACGTCCGGATTACCCGTGAGGACGCGGACTTCGTTGTTGTAGCATGGTAATCTGTGTTGATAGGGAATGTAGTCTCACGGGTCCTTCTAATCATGGTGTTTCTCAAGCTCCTGAACCACTCACCAAGGCCTGAAAAGCTGCTTACCTCTCTGTCTAATCCTTTGCCTTCGTCCCTTCCGAGATCTCTGGACTATTGTAAGTGTCTTAGAGGACGAGATGTTACGTTGGAGTTGGCGTCCACTCGAGATCGCTCGTAATGTCTCGGAACCCTTTGCGCTTAACGTAGTCTACTGTCTCACTCGTCAGCAAATTTGGACTATATGTCCATGAACGAAAAGGTGAAAAGAAGATTAGACGCTGGCTGGTGTAGAAATAGGTATCTACAGGTTCACGTACGGTCAAATATTCATCAATTGTTTATCCCGCCAAGCCAATGACATCAATGGCAGCGAAGCCGCAGACAAAAAGTTCTCCGAGGCTGCGGACGAGCCTCCTCTGTTCAGTGCTATGCTCGCAATCATGTCATCCTGTGGCTGCAAGGTGAGAAGATATCGGTGAGGCCGTTCTCTCCAAAGGACATGTTCGCAAGGGGTGTAGGTGTGCGAGTTCTACGAAACTGCACCCGAGCCACCAAGATCCCTTCGACTTCTGCAGCACGCCAAATCCCAAGGCGGTTCTCCTCTACATCGACCGCCATCAGCCATGCTGCACCTCCGACCGCTCACCCTCTTGCTGGTGTTGCGTCACAACTCGATCATGTTGCCCCTCGATTCGAAATAGACCCTGATAATATCGAAATCCTCGATTCCCCGACTGCTTTCTACGAGACGCTGAAGGTATTCAGAGTGTAGTAAGTCATGAAGAGAGAATATCTTGCTAAGGCATTGTGCAGGCCAAAATACGAGGCGCAAATAGAAGAATATACTTGTCCACACTATATATCGGAAAGACCGAACACGAATTGATTGATACACTGAGGGAAGCTCTTGAAGCCAATCCCAATTTAGAGCTCTCGATCCTCACGGACGCTCTTCGAGGGACTCGTGAAGATCCAGAGCCATCATGCGGCACTCTTCTGGCACCACTGATCTCCCAGTTTGGGGACAGAGTGAGAATATCTATGTTTCATACTCCCAATCTGAATGGGTGGAAAAAGACGTACATGCCCAAGCGCATCAACGAGGGATGGGGCTTGCAGCACATGAAACTGTATGGTTTTGATGATGAGATTATGCTCTCGGGGTACGTCGACCTGATCACCTCTTGGACGCGAACTGACATTCCTCAGTGCCAACCTGTCCAATGACTACTTCACGAACCGACTGGACCGCTACCACCTGTTCAAGTCCAAGGAGCTCGCCGATTTCTATGGAGCTGTTCATGAAGGTGTCTGCGATATTTCATACACGCTTCGGCCTTCAGACGAACACTCAGGAGGGTTTGAGCTGATCAGCCCTCATGAGCGGGGGTTTCCCGACCCATTATGGCATACCAAGAGATTCAAGCAATATGCAAAAGAGACTCTCGAACCACTCATCCATAAGAAGGCCAGACAGAAGATGTTTCCAGTGCCATTCACCAAGGATAAAACTTTTGTGTACCCTCTAGCCCAGTTCGACATCCTACTCGGCCAACCTAAGAACATCGCCTTTCTCGACTACGAATTTGCGACGTACACTTCGACAGAGAAACCAGCAATAACGCGGTTACTAACCAATCTCGCGGAAGACGAGCGTTTGCACGAGTCCCAATGGACCTTCACGGCAGGTTACTTTAATATTGATCCCGACATCTGCAAGTTGCTCATTGCAGCTGCACCGGAACCTGGCGTTATTGCCCCAGGCACCAAAGCCTTCGAAAAGGCATGCACCGTGCTCACCGCCTCGCCTTGGGCCAATGGCTTCTATGGAAGTCCCGGTGTGAGCGGTATGCTTCCAGCAGCATATACGCTTTTATCCAGGCGTTTCCTCCGTACTGTCGCAAACGCAGGTAAGGAGGATCAGATAGCATTGAAAGAATGGCGCAAAGGCACCGTCGGAGAGCCAGGAGGAATGACGTACCATGCCAAAGGACTCTGGGTGACGCTGCCACCACAACCAGGTCCAGACACGAATGTCATTGATGAAGCCGGCCCCAGCGTTACCGTAGTCGGGAGCAGTAACTACACGAAAAGAAGTTACAGTCTCGATCTGGAAGTCGGCGCGATGGTCCTTACAGGCGACGAGAAACTCAAGGCCAAATTGAAGAAGGAGACCGAGAGCCTGGAGGCAGATGCGACGGTTGCGACACAGGATACTCTGGCTAGAATCGACAGAAGGGTGGGCTTGAAAGTCCGACTCGCACTGTGGTTGGTTGAAGCGCTAGGCGGTGCACTCTAACTGTGCAAAGGTGGCCCTCTGTGACCTCTGCAGTATTGATGCCGCTGTCACGGGGTTCAATATTTGGACTGGATGTGGACAAAGTCTAGACCCAAGCGGATCGGATATTCTACCCGAACGAAGTATTTTCCAAGGAGAGGTAAGCTGTCATCTGATGCCCACGCCCTCATTTTGAACTGGAGATGCCTGGAATTTTCTCCAACGTTCTGTCGGTCTTTTGCGAGCTTGTGTCGGGTTCACCTACCACTCGTCCTAGCTGGAGCGAGATTGGTCTGATGGAAGGGTCCAAAGAGGGAGAGACATCGCACGGCGTCGGCACAAAAAAGAGTGCCGTTGAGAATCTTTCTTGACGCAGCTGCACAATTTCGGTGTGTGTATCATTTGAGAAGTGGTCTCGTCATATCTCTGCGCTTCTGGGATTGATCTCATAATTCGGGAGTCACCGCTTCAGTACCTGGGATTCAGGTTGTAAAGTATGGATGTAATATACATATATAGAAATTGTATAATACCAGGTATGTACATCGAGGTATAACACTCACCTCTCACAAAGTCTGTCGTATATGGATGCTGGTCAGTCTATGGTCAAAAAAAAAAAGAAACCGTGCCTACACGCTCAGCAGTAAGAGAGAAAAAAAATTCGAATTTTCTCACCGCCTTTGGGTCGTGGTTCAATCGGCAGTAGTTTGTATAATTCGGTAACATACAGCACAAGCACATCTTTACGGAGTAGTCGCAGATGGATTTTTTTCTTCTTTTTAATCCACGTCGATGTCGATGGGGATGGATCTCGATCTTACATCTGCATCTTCATCGCGCGCTGCATCGAAGAATTAACCGATTTGCTACCTAGAGTAAGTACTCCTCTGTACTTCGTACTCCATACCCCCCAAAAAATTGTACCGCAGGCGGTATATTCACCGCCATCCGAAGGGGTTGATGGAGGTACCGTAGAGGAGGGTGGGTGTATGACTTGTATGGCTTTTTTTCTTTTTGATAAACGAACCAGAGCACTTCGTTGGAAGAAGCGGGAGAGCTAACGATGCGCCTGCCCCCCAAGATGGACCATTGTGGTGGACACGAGACAAGGTCCAACCTGTAGTGAAGTATTGTTTACCCGGTACGTGTATCTAACACATCTTCTACGAGACCTGCGAACTAGTACTACTACCTACAGTACAGTGATATTCCGTCCATCTAGCGGCAGGTTCGAATCGTATCACGAAAAGTCGAATATTATACAGTTACAGTACTGTAGATGATAGACCAAGAAGGAGATGTGGTAAACGACGCAGGTAAACAGTTTGATTGACACCCACAGACGGAAGACATTGCCAGTGGATGGCGCATTCGAACATTGGCAATCATCCGACACTGCTCGTTAGTCTACCGTAGACACTTCTTTCATCTTCATCTTCCTACGAATAGGCTGTTACTGTACGCGTACGAGCAAGCGCTGTCGTCGCGAGTACGGTTAGCCATTTCTCGAGATGCTCAAAATAAAAAGACGGAGCTTTTCCCAACCACCCAAAAGAACAGCTGCGTCGAGATCCATGCCCACAGGAAACGCCCACAGGTGGAGTGAAGGAGGAGTACCTTATGAGCCAGCTTCGGCCCGCGACGCCGATGGAGTTGCAGTACTGTACCTTTCTACTCGTACTCCTTAGGCCCCAAACTGCACTCCAGTAGAGATACAGAGGACAATACAGTAGACTCTCATCCCTTGCTACTGCTGTCGTGACCGTTTTGTGCGACCAAGACCGCTGGTCGGCGGTTATCGTGTAGACCGGTTAATTCGTACTGTGGATGCTTCGCACAATTCGAGTAACGAGAACGAATACAGGGTACTCCATCAAGGGGCATCTGCACTTGAAAATCGTCGTGGCCCATCTCGACTGGATGGGCGATCTTCAGATCCCGTCCTGCAGTCAGCAACGTCGGTGGCGAACATGATTGATCCATGAATGCTCGGTAGAAAGCAAGCAAAAGGTGGACTTTTCCCAATATTACCAAGACAAGCCAATGCCAAACCCAGTGGCGAGGTTGCAGGTTCTTGACTCCGTGAAAACCAAGGACTCAAGAAAAAAGTTGATTGTCGCGCTTATGCAGAGCCTGCATATCTAGGTGAAAGGAGTAACCCGTAAACTCGCATTAGGCTCGCCTCCAGACAGCACTCCTACAATGCCAATTCAACCCACCGGAAAGCACCCAGAGCGAGATTGCATCGCTGTATTGCTTTGCTCACCGACATTCCAAGCAAAGAGATTGAATGTTTTGAATATACTCCATACAATGTACAGTATGAGTATAGAGAGATATCGTTTGTTAGTCAAGCGAAAGGTTGTTGATCTACTACCTAGATACTCCGGTACAGTACAACGGGTAAATTGCAGCACCGTGGACCAAAGTAATGAAGTGACTGTTTGTTGTAACCTCCGTACTGTACTCATCCAGTCTTATCGGACGGAGGTCTGAAGCTTCTGGCCCCGAACGAGCCCTTCCATCTACTAATCAGAAGGGTTTGCCATGACAGCAAGGATTCTTCCGAAACATCAACAACTTGTCTCACATTGACGCTCCGAAACTGCCAGGTGTCTGCTCCGTACGGAGTACAGTAAGCCCTTTGGTTGGGACTGCGAAATTATCCGACATGATTGCTGTCCAAGAAGCCCACCAATAATGATCACTGATTCACAGTCACTTATCATTCACGTGCTCATCCCTGTTTGTTGGGCGCGCTCCATGTTCTTGACTTGGTCTTTGCTTTGCCCGGTGACGCTGCTGATCGTTGATAAACAACCGGGCTCTGACAGGTTGAAGGTCGCGCTGCCAGACTCAAGGGTTGCGTTGGGATCACCACGAGTAGAGTCGCGAGGAACTCCTTGGAAGTGGATCGAAGCAATTATTGTCAAGTCAAGTCATTCAAGTCACTGTACATAGTTGTTGTAGTTTCTGGAGGGTGGGCGCTTTGCTTTGATCTTCTCGTGGCAGTGGTGTCAAAGACCCCCATTGCCAGCCAAGGGCCAAAAACAGAAACAGGGACAAGAAGGGACGCCTCAGCTTGGGTCACATGACCCGGCGAGCTCCATGAAGGAGGCTTGGTTAGCTTCCTTGACCCCAAGAACAATTCTTACGAATACATCCCGTATTTGCTCCAAGGACCAGAGTCGGTGGGGTGGTCAGAGAAATTCCAGAGACTCAGAGAATCTTCTCGTGTCGTCAAATCTCTTTGTGAACTGCCGCGCGGAACCTGAAACTTACCGCCTGCAGACGAACGTTCAATGAACTCCTGGATCGTCAAACCACCAACTCTTTGCGGGGTAAAGTGTCACACGGTCCTGGCAGGGGATACGGGCGCGCCTTGAGAGGAGAGCCCGGAACTTGTGAGGCTTGAGTCAGCAGAGGACATCGACGATGATTATCCGTAAAGCACTCGATCTGTACGAGCGTGAAGGAATGTGCTCGTCGTTCACTAGAGAATCAGACTAAGCCGTGGCTGCACCAATTATTACTAGAATTACGACTACAGCTCGTGACAGGAGGATTGAGGACCACCGTTCGATACATCACTTCTGGCTGTTACAGCCGTCGGGACGGTCGAGGCAATAAGGCAGACGGCAAGTCTGGTTGTACCCGGAAATCATCTCCCGAGGGGAGTGTCAAAGTACTCGTAGAGAACGCCAGCTCATGAACAATGCACTCGTCAATAATAATGAACTCATTCCCGGTGGTGCCGCCAGGCGGTCGGATGAAAGAATGGATGTCTCGGAACACTGAACAACATCTTGGAGATGAGCTTCGTAATTGATCTTGAGCGAATTGTAATGAATAGTAGTACTCCGTAAAGGTGGCATCTTCTCACTCATTCTTTGATCATCGGCTTATGTTATTGTCTGGTTGCGTGTTGCGGGCCAACCTGAAGCCCAGCGTCACGCAGACAAAGCTCCTGATGTGGCGTGATTTTTATTGGTCGGTGAGAACTTTGGGTGTGTACGAGTCGGACAGGACTAGGAGACCACTAAGCCAACCTGCTACAGTACTGTACAGTTCATACTGTCCAATGTTCGTATTCGTGGAGTCCTTGAGTGCGACCATACAGGTGTCTTCTCGACGTATGTCTTTGCTTGGTGTCGAGTTGGCATACGGATTGAAGTGTATGGACTAACTAAGGGAGTTGAGGGACTGTCAGGCGTAGAATTCAGCACTGGGAAGATGTGATCACGCGGGAAATTAGGAGGTGAGGTGGTGCAGACTGGGCTTGGCCGGAAACAGCTTAGCAAGTGCAGTAGTGGACAATAAACAGGCGCAGGCACCGTCTTCCCCACCAACGCTTCCACGTCTTTCGATGCCAGAAGATTCGCCATCGTCGACGCCATCGCCCAACAACAGGTGCCTTGTTGCTTGCCTCGGGCCTGGTCTGGGTCCGGCCACCACTACGGAGTCCCATCGTACCAATGCTCTAGTCGCCATCCACGCTCGAGACGGCCCAATAACTCAGCCCTGGCACAGACACCGACTCTTTGCTGCCCGTCACCGCCAGTCAATGCTCTCTCTCCATCTTCTCTTCATATCTCGTCCATAATCTCTCGTTGTTTACTCTCCTTACCTCGTCTTCTACCCCCCCAAAGTCGAACCACCCTGCAATGTGAAAGGATACGCCCTGAACGAGTGTTCGTTACTCCCATACATCTCGTCAAGAGCACCTGGCCGTGTCCTTTTCTCATACGCACCGTCTCGACGACGACCGCTCCTTCCCTACCCTCCTCGCTGTCACCCGGCGACCCCCGCTACATTCTGTCAAAAGCTCCCCCACCCCCGATACCTGCGGTACTGGACTCGACAACCATCACCTCAGTACCTATAATCTCTCTATACTTCTGATCGAGCACTGTGGCTAGTTGATCAAGACTGCAAGAGACGTTCGGACAATACATCATTGTCGACAAGACCCTCAACGTCGATCCCCGGCCTGATTTGTTGGAACCGTTGTCGGTGGTGTCATAGGGCAACTCACCACACCCACCACAATAACAAAGGAGACTCATTCTTCTTTGACAACAAGACAAGTCAACTGATCCTCCCACCGTCAAGTCAACACCCTCGGTGGCGAGTATCTGTGGTTGCCTACTGTCCACTAGGCTCCATTGACCTCAACCGGCCCTCCTGTTACACTTCATCCTCTCTTGATCTCTTCTCCATCAGCTCAACCTACTTAACGACTTCCTCTACCTAAGTACCTACCTAATCTGCACTTCGACCTATCGGTACCTACACTCTTTTCTTGGGCCTACTTGCAGCCAGAACCAGTCCCTCTTCCTCTCTCCTCCACGATGACTCAATAACTAAACGCTCTTTACGCCCGTTGCTTGTTCGACTGAACAACGAGCCCTCACAAGCTCTGCGTCATCGACTACAACTCATTTTCCTTTGTCTCTAACGTTAACGACGACCTTTTACCCGTTCTATGAGCCTCTGATTCCACACGACGACTAGGAGTTTCCGCGGTGTTGCTTTCTCTCAAACACATGATATTGGTGGTTGCAGCTTTCGAGTTCTAAGGCGGATTTATGCGTGGTGTCCTGCTTTCCATCCGTCAACTTTGTCTTCTACATCTGAGCACAGCTGCTCTCGACATATCCTCTTCCTTCCCATACTCTCTTTGTACAAAGTTCCTCTGAGCTATATCTCTCGACTCTGAATTTGAAAGCTGTTGTTCTCGGCCTAAACAAGGTGGACGATTGACCTCGGACGAGTACCTACCCGTCAACAATACCCAACTATGGAGTGCATGAAAGATGGCTTCCGGAAGGAGCAGATCCTTGATGGGCGGTTCCGGACAATCGCCCCGCTCAATCACGGTTCCTTTGGTATGGTCTTTCTCGCCGAGGATCTCCATACTGGGCAGGAGGTGGCCATCAAGTGCTTGACCAAGCCAACCATTGCCAACAACACGTCCTCAGCATTCACCGCTGATGAAGGTGCCGAAGAGTTGGCTTGCCATGCCATTCTCAAGCAACATCCTCACTTGGTCAACCTTGTTCATCACTTCGACACGGAAGCCCATACCTACTTGGTCCTGGAGTACTGTTCTCAAGGTGATCTTTACGAAGCAATTCGCCTCGACCGTGGACCTCTGCAGACTGAACATGTTCGACGATTCATGTTGCAGCTCATCAGTGCCGTGCACCATATGCACGCCAATGGGCTGTTCCATCGAGACATCAAACCGGAGAACATTTTCCTCACCTCTGATGGGTCTATGAAGCTTGGTGATTTCGGCCTGGCAACCAGGAGTCTTTGGTCCTACGAGTCTTGCGTGGGAAGTGATCGATACATGGCCCCTGAACAATACGATCCTGCCAGTATCGGTTACTCTCCAGCCAAGGCCGACATTTGGTCCATCGGTATTTGCTTGCTCAATGTCTTGTTTGCCAGAAACCCCTTCGTCACTCCTTCGGAGTCGGATGTGCTCTTCTCTGACTATGTTCGAGACCGTCAATCTCTCTTTGACATCTTCCCGAGCATGTCACAGGATACGTTTGAGATCTTGTCGAATGCCATGGCTTTGGACCCTGCCAAGCGTGACCTGGCTGCATTGAAGCAAGCTGTTCTTCGTGCCGTCACCTTCACCACCGACGACGAGTCCATTGACGACTTCTGTGCCGAGGAACGTGATGTGGTACGTGCCAGCGCCAACCGCGAACCATTACGTACCCCATCCATCCAGAGTCCCCAGATGGATGGCGATTCGTTCCCCTGGGCCAAGGCATTGCGCTCTCCCAGCCGCAAGCAACCCCAGCTGGCTTCCATTCCCGATCTGTACGACGAGGACATGTTTTCCGACAAAGGCCTCAAGCTCGGCGAATCTTGGTACTCTGGAATCAACAATACTCCTTCGCTGACTTCGGTTCTGGATTCGGCTTATGGCTCTCTCAAGTCCTTGGCCATTCAGCGCCCTTCTCACCGCAATCCACCACGACCAGATCCCGTTCCCATTCCCAACTCTCTCCCTATTCGGGCCTCTCGACCTATTCCTACCATGTCGTCAGTCTTTGGGAAGAAGAACGATACTGTGGCCAAGAGCTGGAGTGACATGTTTGAAGAGGATGAGGAAGAATGGGAGCTTGAGGCCGAGGCTGAGCTCAAACTGAGACGTGAACAAAACTCGCGCAGCTGGAGTGAAGATAGCCAGAAGGGACTGCCTGTTCCTCACGGCGTTCTTACAGAGTCAAGATCCTCCAGCAATGCCCGTCTTAGCCGGACCCCGAGGGCGACTTCTCCTGTCAAGACCACCTATGCCTCAAAGGAGAACGATCCCTTTGGTTGGCGAGTTCGCCCATCTCGACACTCTCCCAAGCAAGCTCCCGTCGACAAATGGGCGGCTTTGGGCAACAAGAGACGTGGTCTTCAACAGTCTGGGTCCGAGAGTAATGTTTCTACCTGGAGTAGCAAGAAACGATCCTTCACCACCGGGACTCGCAAGAGACCGACGCAAGTTGTGGGGCCTGACCATCATACTCTGCATCGACGTGATAGCCGAAGCAAGGCACGTCCGGCGTACTTGAATCAGGATTGGCGTCAAGCCAAGGTGATTGACTCATCGATGGATGAGGATGACCATGAGTGGGTTGGAGGTTGGCATAACTTCCATTTGTGATTCTCTGGAGCATTGCCTGTTTGCTGAACTTTTGCTGAACTTTTGTGTGGGCCCAGTCGACACGGTTCAATGGGAATCTACTGGGACTTTCTTTTTTGTTTTTGGTGGTTGAGCGGAGAAAGGAAATGCAACAAAAAACACTACGTCTTTACACATACTCGGCCAACTTTGACCCTCGCTTTTGTCTTGATTGGGACCTTGACACTGATGACTTCTTTGGGATGTGCTTTTTCTTGAAACGAGGTGTCATGGAGTGTACCAACAGTGTTTAACATCAAAGAAAACTGGAACAAAGGCATTGGGGTTTAGCGCGACGGTTGAAGTATGTTCTACTCGATATCACATTTTTTTTCTACATCGACCAAGGACAGCATTATAAGGATGAGGATTGGGGATTCGTTCAAAGGTTCAGCCGGTTCGACAACACACGCACATACACATGAGGTTTGGAGCAGGTTGGTGATGAGAGGAAAAACTTTTCAAAAGGGGCAGTGCTCTGTTGATTTCACATCAATTCTCCTAGAGACAAGTTCTTGTTTCTATTCCTTGGGGTGTATGGCAGCGATGAGGATGACAAAGTAGCTAGATTGATACAATTATATATTGACTGCCAATGAACTACCTACCCATCAGAAGAAGATTGGGAGAATTTCAACCCTCTACCAATGATTCAGTAACTTGATTGTTGCAACCGTTTTATTTTGGAATTGTATATGTATGTCTATATCTACCTCGTCGCCCTCGGTCGAAGTTTGTTGGCTGTTTCGTGGCTAAAGAAGTTGTAAATTACACAAAACTAGGAGTAGTTCGCCTCACGACAGCCTCGGACAAGAGCCCAACTTGACTTAATGTGGGATTCTCTTCAGCCTCATTAACCTCAGTTGGGCCCCTTACCGAGGTATTGGGGTTTGGTTCAGGTACTCCGGATATTGTCAGTCTCTTCTTCCCCGCAAATCAACAACTTCATTTATTGCAACCGAGGGAGGTTCTGTTTGTACAGTATATCCATCCTTATCATTCAGTCAGGCCTTATTGTCAACCTTCCCTTCTGTTCACCGTTCGGAATCTTGAGAATTGTATCCCACAGATTGCCCAAGACGAGAAACAGAGCAAACAGACAAAAAATGGCGCCGACGGCATCAGAATCCATCCCTCCCATCGCCCAACCGTTCGTGTCTGATCGCGCCCGGAAATTGTTGGACATTGTCGAGAAGTTCGTCGACGAAGAATGTATACCGGCCGACGCCGTCTATCAGGCTCAGATCGGCCTCGGAGAGGCAAGATGGCAGGGACATCCTAGTGTGGTGAGTCTTTTTTCCTTTCTTTTTTTTGTGTTTGGCAATGCCGCAAAGTGTTTTGAAGGCTGTCACTCCTTTTCCCCCCCCCCGGAGATGCTGACCTTGAGGTGTTTTTATTTCTAGATGGACGATCTCAAACGCAAAGCCAGAAGTTTGGGGATATGGAACATGTTTTTACCAAAGAATCACTTCAAGGACGGACCACAATTCACAAACGTCGAATACGGACTCATGGCCGAACAATTGGGTAAAAGTATCACTGCCAGTGAGGTGGGTTCTTTTTTTCCCCCCTCTGCTTTCATCTCTCGGATCATTTCTCTGACTTTTGTTGCACTTGTCAAAGGCGTGTAACTGTGCGGCCCCGGACACCGGCAACATGGAAGTCATCGCGAGGTACGGCAACCCTGCACAAAAGGAAAAGTGGCTCAAACCTTTGATGGCCGGCGAGATCCGGTCGGCCTTCTTGATGACCGAACCTGACATTGCCTCCTCCGACGGGTCCAACATCCAACTCCGGATGGAACGAAAGGGCGACCACTACCTCCTCAACGGCAGCAAGTGGTGGTCCTCGGGCGCGGGGGACGACCGCTGCAAGATCTTCATCACCATGGGTAAGACCGACCCGAACCACCCCGACAAGTACCAACGCCAGTCGATGATGTTGGTCCCCGCCGACACTCCCGGGATCAAGGTCCACCGCATGCTGAGCGTGTACGGCTACGACGACGCCCCCCACGGCCACGGCCACGTCACCTTCACCGACGTCCGTGTCCCACTCGACGCCATGATCCTGGGTGAAGGTCGGGGGAACGAAATCATGCAGGGCCGTTTGGGCCCGGGTCGTATCCACCACGCCATGAGAGGCATCGGTGCGTCGGAAAAGGCTCTGGAGTGGTTGATCAATCGACTCAACGACGAACGAAAGATCCCGTTCGGGAAACGCCTGTCCGAACACGGTGTCCTGCTGGAGTGGGTGGCCAAGGCCAGGATCGAGATCGACGCCTGTCGTTTGATCGTCCTCAACGCGGCCATCAAGACCGACCAGAGGGACGCCAAGTTCGCCCTCAAGGAGATCGCCGAGGCCAAAGTCAAGGTCCCCCAGGTGGCCCTCGAGGTCATCGACAGGGCCGTCCAGGCTTACGGCGCCATGGGGGTCTGTCAGGACACACCCCTGGCCTACATGTGGGCACACCTGCGGACGCTCAGGATCGCGGACGGCCCCGACGAGGTTCACCTGCAACAACTCGGAAAGAGGGAAAACAGGACCCGAAAGGACGACATCAAAGTCAAACTGGCGAGGCAGGCGGCCAGGTCGGACGAGTTGTTCAGGACGATGGGAGTCCAAAAGGTCGCCTTGGGGGCGCAAAAGTTTGAGACCAAGAGTAAATTGTAAGTAGTTGGTAGTCAAAACCAGAACAGAACAGAGAACTAGCCAAATATACCAAAGAAAACCCGAAAATGTCATGAAAAAAGGAACCGTACCGTCCGCCTGAGACACTTTACTCCGTTATCGTAGTCAAGCTCAAAAAGTGTAGAGGTTTGCCAGGTGCCCATACCAGACGGCAGAGTCGGTGTTGGAGTGCTGTCACTACTAATTGGAATTGATTGTATTGAAATGCACGAGCAAAACATTGCACAAACGAAGCTCTGAGAATGAAAATCTGTAAGCTGAACCTGAATTGAAATAAATCAAACCAGACTACCTATCCTCCCTTTAGTCGGCTGTTGAAGCCCAGCCCATCCCGTGCACTCCATCGTGAACCACCATTTTCGAGTAGTCGGTGTGCTCATCGCAAGTGTGTTGAACAATTGCGTGTTGAGGGGCGTAGACAAGAAGCCACACACCCTCCTATCTTCGCCACGAAAGGGATCTTTCCTATGCCATAGAGAGAAGACCAATCCATGGCCCCAACCCGCTAACGTGATATCCATAGCAGCTTAGATGTCCAAATCCTCCTTCGTCGTCGAGAGTGGTTCATGCGTCGTCGGAACCCTGAGGGACAGAGTGCTGGTGCTTGGCGCACCATTTGCAGGGCTCCCAGCTGATATTCAATGCCCCACACATTTCAGGTCGTACCGTCTTGTCATATGCATCGGCAGCAAGTTGCGTCACACGATCCTCAACTAAAAAGAACACATGGTGATGTACTCTAAGATGGGAAGAAAGACTCCAAAAATTGAAACACGAGGCGCTGCTGGTGGAGCAGGACCCAAGGGCGCACTCAAGATTGACCTGGTGCTCATTTTCGACATGGAGCTCTAGGTCAGCCTTGATCCCTTCCGCCCCGCAGTGAGAGTATGGACACCGGAACTGAGGGTGCTTTGTCCGTTTATGGTCCTTGAGTTTGTCTTTGCGTGTGAATTCAGCATCACAATCCTTGTCAGGGCATTTGTGTACAAGTCCATCCTGATGCTTAGATCTCCAATGACGATTGAGGTCAGCCTTTCGGCCAAATGGTTCGCGAAAGGAACAATCTGGGTGTGTGCAGACAAGAGGGTCAAGATGTTTGTTCTTGATATGCTCCGTCAGTACCTGGCAGTATTGGAAGACTGCTTTTGAGTTACACTTTGTCCACTGACATTTGATCGGGCCTGGCCAATCACGACCAAGTATTGTCAGGTGGTCAGCGACATGTGCATTGATGAGATCTTTGGTGTCGAATGTTCTAGCACAGTCAGGCCATTGACACTTGTGAAGGCGGCAATGTGCTTCGTTCTGAAGGACTGGGCCCGGGTGCAGGTTCCCAGAATCGACGCCCTGCTAGCGTCAGTCTAAAAAAAAACTTACGGCGATTGGCTCAGCAAGCTGACGGTCAGGATGAGCCTCAGTTTCCAAAGCAACTAGTCCTGGGCTGGTAAGGCAGCTGTGCGCCTCGTGAACGCCCTGGGCTAGCTGGGTGTCAAGGTTGTGCTGCCACTCGACTGTGCCAGCGATTGATCCCATCCCAAGGTCATTGCATTGAGAACGGTGCATCGAGGACTGTGCCATTGAAGGAATTGTGTTCCAGATTTGCGTACCGTAGAATTGACCGAGGTCGAAATTTCCGGTGTTTGCATATCCAATGTCGAAGTTTGGATAGCCTCCGTACCCTTCGATGAATGCTTGATTGATGGTGTTGTTCCCATAGTCTGGGTAGATTGGGTAGCCTCCGTTGCTCCCCATGAGAGCTGAGGAGACATCGACGAAGCTGTTGATGTTCGAAAGGTCGCTGGCAGTATTGAAGTCGATATCTTCGAACCCTGCGAAAGGGTCGACTGAGTCGCTGCCGGTATTGCTGTTGCCGGCGCTGGTGGTTGGGAAATCCGTAAAGGAGTCATTGCGCAGGAAATATTCCCAAGAGTCGTCAGGGATCGAGGACATTGTTCTGTGCTTCAGATAGATTGTACTTTTCTCTGTATCTCTTGCGTGATTCCAGTTACTGCTGAACGCTGGAGGTTGAGGTTTGAAGGTGATAAAGAACGACTCTCGACGTTCCTGGAGGAGGAGTTCGAAACAGCTGAGATTGAGAGGCGCTAGGAGGGCGAAGAGGGCGGTGTGACAACTGACGCCCTCATCATGGATTGGGCGCCTCCAAGAGTGCCCCTGACAAGCTAGCAGGGCAAATCACACCCTTAGCTGTACGCCCTCGATACAGGGGTTGGGATCAGGCTGAAGCAGTGATTTGTCGAAATGCCAGACTCCAGTGAGCCCAACATGCGGTTGGTTGTCCTACATTGTCTTTCTGGGGGGGCTATTGGCTTCTTAGGCGACAGCATGTCTGATGAAATTGTGCATCATGGCACACCAGCCTACAGGAAAGGAAAAGATACTGTACAGGAGGGTGAAGAGGTTGAGAGAAAGAAAGAGCCCGAACCAATTTTACACTAAACCCATTTTGACAAAGTGTCAAGTCAATGAGCCTCAGGCACCCAGACAGCGAGTGAATGGATGAATGCTTCGTATTCTCAGGCAGACCAGCATTCTCACTCTCCTGTTGGTAATATAGACCCAGCATAGTAGCTCTTTAGCCTCATTATATAGACGTCAAAATCGAACTCCTTTCCAACGTTTCGCTTCATCTTGCAATTCAGAGCACAGTATCAAGTCCAGTAGGGTTGGTATTGGACCAATAGTTTTTTGATAGATTGGCAGCAAGAATGTTCTCGACTGCATCTCAATAGTTTGTGTGTGATTGAGCATGAACCGCCCGAAAGTTTCAGTCACTATCACTCAACACCAAAGCATCGTCAGCACTTCCACCAGGAGCACTGCTGGCTGCTCGACTCAATTCCGGGTTCGAGAACGGTGTTCCCCCATATCCGACGTCGTCACTCTCGTCTTCGTCCTCGCCGGATTCCTCTTCATCTTCGACTTCATCTTCATAACCTTCTCTCTCATGCTCGTCTCCGTCTTCATCTTCTTCAAGCTCTTCCTCCGCATTGCCGTAATCTCCAGAGTAATATCGACCATCAGGGCCATCCTCATCATAGAGCTCATCTTCTTCCTCTTCAAGACTCTCATCCTCGTCTTCAAGGGGCTCGTTTTCGTCCTGCTCAGCTTCTTGAAGCAAGGAAAATGTATTTGCTTGTATCACTTTAGCAGGGCTTTTTTGAATGGCCTGCAAGCTTTGCTGAGGAATCGACTGAGCTCCAGACTTCGGTCGTTTTACTGCGTATCCAGCCTCACGGAGATGGTAGTCCTGACTGTTGTCGACGAATGTCGGTTCGAGATGGTTATTGAACTCAATATCCTCGTGGTATCTTTTTCGTGCAGGGCTGCTCGCTTGGCTCTCACCACCATAATACTGCTGAGCACTCTTCTTTGACATGGCGACGGGTACATACTCGCCGCTAACCCGCAGTGGCTTTGTGGCGAGCCCATGAGCACCGGTCTGTCGGATCCTCAATTCTGTGCGGGACAAGCTGGAGCCGAGTTTACTCTGACTAGGAAGATACTCGTATCCGTTGACTCTGGTGAGCCCATTCGCAGAGGTAACGCTCTCCCGAAGACTGTTTTGGGATTTTTTGAAATCTTCTTGCTGCTCCATTTCCTTCTCAAGTTCCACAGCTTGCTGCTTGAACCAGTCTTCCTGCTCTTTCATTGCTTCTCGAGCCTCACGAATCTGTTTCAGGAAGTCGTCCTCCACAACAGGCTTGTTAGAACCCACTATCGGTGCAGGTGGCTTTGGCATCAAAGGGCTCGTCACGATAGGTGCAGGAACAGGTAAGGGGGATGTTGCTGGAGGTGAACTTTGAGTGGAGGATGGCACGAACGGCCGTCTTCTTGCTCTTGTCAAGACACTTTGTCGTTCTTCCTCTTCTTTTCGTCTTCGAATGGCAAGCGTCTCTTTCGTGTCGGGGATGATTGGGGTCTCGGGATCCAAACCCATTGCTTTGAACCGGAAGTAGTCGGTATGCGTGTTGTCCATTTTTTGTTCAATACTAGATCTCCGCAAGTCCTCGATGCTTGTAGACCGACCGAACACAGACTTGCCGGAGAATATAGACACACGGGTGGGGCGGGTCGTCGACGCATGAAAGGCAGGTACAGGAGGCCGACCACCGAGTACAGAAGATGATGATGGTTCTGAAGAAGTGCTCATCGTCTTCGATCGCTTATGCCCAAATGATGAAGAGTGAGTAGATTCCACCGAAAGCCTGTAATCTTTAGGCTTCTGTCCAGAGAAAATCTTTCTCTTCCGCCCGACGATTTGGCTGATGGCAAATTGGTCTTGCTTTTCTTTCAGTTTCTTTGCCTCAGCTGCCTCCCGGACTTCTTGCTGAAGACGCTTTGTTTCCTGAGCGGCTTGTAGAATCTCTTCCAATTCTTCCTCACCTCTCTTTTTCTTGGCCTCTTCAGCCTTCATTGTTGCGGCAATAAGTTTCCTTCGGTTCCTAGCACGTCGACTAAGATTGTTTTTCCAGGCTTGTGAACGCCAAAGCAGGCCAAACTTTCGTTGTAGGATACGTTCACGGATGGAAGCTGGTTGGCTTTGTTAATAACATACGCCAAGAGGAAATGTAATTTCACTTACCAACAGCTGCGTCATGGATCTCAAGCCGATGTTGATTGAATGCTGTCTTGACGAGATCGGGGATAGTATATTCAATGTATTTTCTGATCAGCCCGTCTTGGCGCAACAGCGCAATTCTGGACACTTCATGCGCAAGTCGTTCGCGCTCGATCTCGAGGGAAGGTGGTTGAGGAAGTAATTGAGGGGGGGAGTGAGGTGGAGTGGTGCTTCGCTGAGGTCGTATTTCTGGCTGTGATGCTACAGAAGCTGGCCGCTGAGATGGGATACTGGGAGGCGGAGTAGAACTTTGGTTTGGTGATGAAGTCGTTGGCGCTTGAATAGGAGGAAATTTGAACGCATCGGATGGCGGTTTGGACAACTCCTTAGATGCTGTTGTAGGTTGCGTGCCAAACAAGGGTGGGGCGGGCGACGGGGTTGGTTTCGGAGCAGATTGGAAAGAGAACCCAGGAGTAGAGGGCGGTAATAATGTCTCCGGCTTTGTGGATGGAGGTTGTGAAACTGGTTGTTGTTGGAATCCGAACAATGGAGCCGGTGAGGCTAAGGATGAAGGGGTGTTGTTCCCGGCCTGTGGTTGAGGCGTATCCTCTTTTGATTTTGGTTTTGAGGGGTCTGAAGGTGGTTGTGAGAAGTTTGTGAAGGATATTGGCGGTTGTGAGTCTCCAGGTTTGGTCGTTGAAACTACAACGACATTCACCGTTAGCCCACCACCTCTTCCTTGACAATGCAGATCTGCCACATCTGGGAAACATACCTTCAGCTGGTTTTGTAAAACTGAAGCCTGCCTGGGAAGGGGCATTTTGTCCAAAGATCGGGGGGACACCCGAGACTGTCGTCGTCGATATCGAGGGAGATGGAGACGAAGTTTGTGTTAACGCAGCAGCCTTCCCCATCCCTAAGCCGCCAAGACTACCGAACACAGACTTCTGTTCGGCGGCGATCGATGGAGTAGAATTTTCAGGAATAGCATCCTTTCCCTTATCTGCAGCAGCCTCAACAGAAGTTGTGAAGCCCCCGAAACTAGAGGGGCCACGATTCTGCTGCGTTGGGGGCCGGGGAGCAGGGGAAGGCTTGCCAAAGGGCGAGTCTACCGGAACAGGTGAAGACCCAAAGCCACCAAAGCCTGAACTAGCAAACCCGGTCGATGGTTTCCCAAATGTGGATGTGGAGGTTGGTTGTCCAAAGGCAGACGATTCTATCGTTTTCGAGGTGGCAATGCTCTGTCCAAACTTCGGAGTGAAGGTTGAGGCTTCAGGGTTCAAAGAGGTACCAAAGGTTGTAGCTTGGGGCTGATCCTGAGGCACAAACATGCTCTGGTCGTCGTCTCTCACTTCGTTTTGCTCGTCGTCCGCCTCGTCCTCCGGCACTTCGATCAATCCCTGGCGAATCGCTTCGCCAACTGAAATGCCGTTGATAACGGCGGTTAGGGTTCGGTGATAGCGTTTTTTCTCAACAAAGCTGTGAGAAAAGGTTTGCTTGTTGGGTATGGAGGATTCTACGCAGATATCAGAATGTGCTTAAGACCAGTGCTGGGGAAGTGGGCGTACGCACGATCGAGGGAATGGGAAGCGTTGGAAGTCACATCAAGATATTCCTCGCCATGTTCATCTGTCCCGAAGTACAGTTCGAAAGCCGCACAGAAATCCGTCGTCTCTTCGTCAGCGTCGAAACCGAGGAATGCCGTGACCTCAGCGAGACTCCAATCTCGAGACTTTGCTTGTTGAGCTGCCGGAGCGCTTTTGCACGAGCGCCACAAAGCATCCAAGGCCGCGAATCGAACATGTGCGAAATAGATCTCTGCCACACACGCCATGATGTAAGGTACGGCCTTCGACGATAGAAGATGCCAAAAGCCACCAGTGTTGCTCTGGGCGATCGGAAAGGGTTCCATGGGTCGAAGAGGTCCTTGGTCGAACAAAGAGTTACCTGCATTTTGATAGAGCTTGATAGCGGTCTGTACTCGTTTATCCTTGAGGAGGTTGGCGGGCCACGCTTGAATGCGATCTTCCAAATCCGGATGCTGTGACTGGAACTCAAATATGATACAGTATGCTCGGAACTCTGCTTCATTAGTGAACTCGATGCGTGAGCGATTGTCGTCGTAGTAATACAACAGCGAAAGGAGAGTATTGTTGAGCTGTTCACGCTCTTGATGCGCATCGAAATTCTCTCCGTCCCAGAGGTTGTCGGGATTTGACAGCTGATGTAGCGACAGGATGTGAAATCTGGCAATCCGTTCGTAACAGTCGACTGCAATCTTGACATCTTCGATATTCGTCACCTGCTGAATCGAAAAGTCATTGCGAATACCTCGAGTCCGATCCCAGACGAATTTATGGATGGGTGCAAGTCGTTCCTCGCCACCAACCACCTTGTCGAGGAGATAGTCTAACGTCTTCCGGAGTGTCGCAGGGGTTCTAATATCCGAGGGTAATTGTTCGTCATATCCTGCAGCGGAACGTCGAAATCGCTTGACCATACGTTCCTCCGAAGGGATATCCTTTCCAGTATCTTGATTATGCACCTAACCTTCCATCAGCATGCTCTTCTTTCTTCATAGGCTTTTGACTGATCGCACCTTCTCAGCTTTGTCAACCATATTTTGAACAGTACGCTCTACTCTTTCAAACTCAGGACACATCTCGGTGCATGTGCCCACTGGTGTAATTGCTTTGTCCAGGCTTGTCTTCTTCTCGGGATCCGCAAGGAAGCCATCACGAATGGCTTTTGCGCGCTCGGTTTCTCGCTTCGTCTTGAGCTAAATGGGACTTGCATGTTAGACACCTACAGGGTAAACCGCAGTCAGCTCGACAAAGAATAGGCCGTAACGCACCTCTTGAAATCTTGCATAGGCAGCATTCATAAAGTCGCGATGGTTGGTGGGTGCAGGAGAAGCAGTCCGTGATACTGGAGGTGTGGATGCTGGAGAGTTTGGTGCATTGAAGGTTTGCGACAGAAATCCACGTCCACGACCCCGTCCCCGGGTGTTGGGTGTCGACGATGGTGTGGTAGAAGCTCCGCGACCTGTCTTGTCTCAGTGTTTGCAGCCCTTGAGTATCTTCTTAATCCTCACCTCTTATTGGAGTTGTTCCGCCATTGTCAGAGCCTCTTTTGACAGTCCCCGCCCTCAATCGTTGCAGTAATCCATCACCACTGTTGGAGGAAGTGTTGGCACTCGCCGCACCTCGACCTCTCCCCCTTCCTGCTTGTAGTGGCTTGGGTTGACCACGGGTGCTACCGCGACCGCGAGGGGTGAATGATTGGGACCCTCGACCGCCTCTCGTCGAGCTGCCACCGCGTTGACCGCGGGTGGACGGCGCAGACATTGGCGCAGATGGATTCGATCAACATTGGGGTTCTAGCATAGCAAGGGCTTCGACTGTCGAATTGAGGGTGTTGTATGGAGGGATCTAGGCTATTGCTTGAATTATTGTAATTGTCATCGCCCGTGATTGCAGCCTGCGGGACTGTGAAAAGTCTTACTATGACGACGCGAATCGTGAATTCTGATGCCGGTGAAGACAATGGCGACTTGACCCACGCCTGTTTTCAAACCGCAAACGAAGCTCGATGCTTATTGGTTTAGCGCAAACAGGTTACAGCCTTGTCAATGATCACGCAGCCTTGTTATGTCATCCACCAACAACTTGACATTTGACTTGTTCTAGAAAACCATGCCAACTTGACATATCTGGCTCTTCTTGGCCTCCAGTCTGAATTGTGTTGTCGAGCTGATGGTCTCCTTCAAAATCTGTTGTGAGTTCGATACTGACTGAAACAGATGGCTTTGACATTCCTCCTCTCATGTGACCAGCCCATGATGCAGCCCATTCACAACAAATCACTCCCGGGCTTCCATGATCACGTCTCTCTATCCTAGCAAGGAAGCCATGATCTCTCTGTCAACCACGCTCAGGATTCGAGCAACAGAATCCCACTTGATCAATCTTGTATTGGATCACGTGCCGAAGAAGTCTCGATCATGGGAGGATCGCCCCAGTTTCGGGGTATAACACCCAGGCGAACATTTTGAAAGTCTTGCTAGAACAAGAGGCAGGTACAAAGCTGTCGTAAAATTGTCGCATTTGGTAGGTGAATCTTTTCGGATAACGAAACGGCGACAAGAAAGCCTCGGATGGGCATATTGTCCTGATCTTTGCCGGAGTCGGCCTGACACACCTTGATGGCCTCTCAATACGTTTTACTCGCATCAGAGGCCTAGATACGAGATTTACTGGTTGAAAATCACGCTCAGCTGACGTATATACCTTTGCGGAACATGTCAATACTATGAGGATCTCGCGCTCGAGAGCTTCGAGAGCGACTCTTCAACGACGCAGGATTGGCAGTTCCTGCGACATCAAGGTCGATTCGGACTTTCATGATTGAGCTCGGAGAATTATTGAATACAGCAAACAAAAATATGATCAGGCGTGAAGGTTGCGATGCAGAATGGCTCGACCGCTGAAAGACCTCGAGATTGCTTTGCGAGAGGTCGAGGAATGCTTGCTCCATCAAGCCTCGACATGGCATTCTTCGCACGTCCCTATAACCCCGAGCGAGATTGAGTTGGTAGGTCGCCAACAAGTTGCTTCGATGGCACCTATCTCGCAACCACAATTGATTGTGATCTGAGGGAGATGCACACATTCAGATCGGAGTGATTATACTCACAGAAACAGACACGATGCAGAATTGGCAGAAGATGCAACCGATATCTGCGTATTACGTATTCGCTTAGGTTTCGTTCGCTGGATATGGTAAACGTTGTCGATCATAGTCTCGGAATCCGCCATATGTCTACATCTAACAAAAACCAGATCACAGTTCGCCCACGACAATACGCATCGTATGCGCTGCGAGCCTTGATGCTAGCCTTTGCACGATACACCAGCAATCAATTCCCAGTTACAACTTTGCTCGTGGCTCGGAACGGGACAGATGATGAAGGATCTGCTATCTGTTATCCGGCTGCAGACCCAAGTTCGACTGAAGATTGGTTGATACGAGTAATACACATGCCACGAGCCACTACGAACCCTTCCCACTCCACCTTGTCGACCGTTGTGGAGCTACTCAGATGGAGCCGAGTATACAGAAGCGAAAACGAGTACGTCTTCTGCACCACTGGGTATTTGGGAGTGAGAGCACAAAAGGAACGCACGCCCTCGTTCAGTCTTGGAAGTGGTAAAGGTTTGCGACCATATAACCCGGTTGGCTTCATATTCACGCCCATATCTACCCGAGTTCCTCACAGGACCAGAAGCCGCGTTCTTGCCACTTCACTCAGTACTGGCCTTCGATCTGGAGCCAGAGCATCTCCCCAGCTGAATTTCCATTCTCTGCGCTCCGGGTACTCTCTGCACTCCGCTTACACTTCTTACGGTTCAAGTCAGACTCCGAATATGGCAGTCTGACGGCTTCTGTCTCTATGGGTAGTACAGAGCTTCCAGCAATGACTTTACCCTGCGACTACTTGGATTAGTATCATACAGCCTTGATTGAATGTCAGCTCTCGGCTGCTTCACCTTTCCCGACCTCGTCGACCTCGACCAATCTACCTACTATACGGCTCGTGTAGCCTCCTCGAAACGAACTATTTCGAGCGACACGCGCGACTCCTCAACGTCAACATCGACCTGGATCCGTTTCAAATGAACAACAAAAAACCAGTAACATGCACAAGCAGTACAATGGAGATAGGTTACACGAACGAAATTTGAAAGATCAAAGATTTGAAAACAAGCATCTAATCGCTGTACAAGTGAAATCTAAACGCTAGGATCATCGTTCATCATGAGGTGAGGTGAGGTGAGGAATGGCTGATCACGACCGCTCTTTATACCTCTGCAACTGTTCCGCCACCAAACACATATCCATGGGCCACCAATCATTATTACCATTACTACCCTGACCTTGACCGTCCCCGGTCATGCTCTTACGAGGACGATTAATCATCTGCGCCAATTTCTTGATATCCGTGATTCCAAAGTCTCCGATCCACCAAGTCTCCTGCTCGACCAGCATGACAAAGACAAGCCAATGCGCAAAGATATCCCAGGCGAGCATCTGTATCTCGTGGTCGATATCTCCGCCATCCGGCGGCGCAGCTGACAGACGCACCGGCAGTTGCAAAATGGCCATAAAGTCTTCCGGCAAGCGATTTACCCAGGGTAAGATGACGGGCGTCAACGGTAAGGAAGGGTGGTATATGCGTGGTAGTCTGATGGAGTCATTGAGCCATGAACAACGTGATGACGAATGCGTATCGCAATCGTTGAGGTCGAGGCTGGCGATCTCGAGATTCATCGAATCAGGGGGAGGGGGTGGCGGGGTCTGCTGCTTGTCGAGATTCTCCGGGAAGAGGGCGTTGCCAATCGAGATCAAAACATCGACGGCCAACGAACAAGCAGACATGGATGCGGCTTTTGAGAGCTGTGCGCTCGCCTTGTGAAAAGCCATCGTGGGCAGTTCAGTGCGAAGAGACCTGCGGAAGTCTCGTTGCAGTGCGTCGACCCTCTCCTGGAGCGCGTCCAGGGCACCTGTCCTGGTCGCTGAGATGACGGACATCAATGAAAAGTTCGGGTCGACAGGTTGCAGTGCCGGGGTTGGGCTGAAGCGTCTCTTTTCCTTGCTCACCTCGATGGCATTCAAGATGTACGCCGAGATGGCCGGCTCGGGCACCTCGCCTTCGTATACAATCTCGGGACTCGCGGCGTCGTGTTGGTGCGAAGGTGAGTGGCAGCAGGCGGTGCCGATGGTGTTGATTCCGCGAAGCAAGGTGGCCCACTGCAGGTTCGTGGGGTGGTCCTCGTTCATCCCATAGGTCTCGGTCATGGTGAATCGTGTTTGGTTTTGGGTTTTGAGCAATCGAATGAGTCTTCGTCGAGCTAACGCGTAGGGAAAGAGCACGGCCGAGAGAACGTGGGCGACCTCGAGATTCCTGGGCGTGCCGAGGGCGACCTGTCGTCGGACGGCCTGCAGGCCCCGGTCGTGGTAGTGGTCACTCTTCGCGAGTAGCCGCTGCACCTCGTCGGCGCGCTCCAGTGCAGTTCCGTCGACGAGGGCGTCGATACAGAAGGCCGTCGCGGTCACGGCGAGGAGCGCGCAGAGCATCCCTTCGTTGGTCGCCGCCATGGCCGTGATGGAGAGCCTGTGTGAGTGAGCGATGTGCGGTGCTGTCCCGAGACTAGGGCTGGACGGGTCGAGATAGTAGTGGAAAAGATGAAGGTCTTCGTGGACGTTGGACACCTCCACGTCCGGACTCAGGCTCGCCGAGAGAGCTTGCGACGCTCCGCCACCGGCCTGGAAGAGCGGCGTGAGTGGCCACGGGACCGGGGAGGTGGGTGACGGGTCCCGTGTGATTTCAGGGCCGTGGCCAGATTCGTTCAATTCGAGCGACACCGACGAGGAACCTTCGTGGGACCGGCCGCCCTGTGCTTTTTGGGTTTCTGAGAGGTACTCGCAAGGTTGTTGTCTATATGCACAGTTGTGACATTGCGGTTTGGCCTCGTCGCACTGGGAAAATAGCCAGAATGTCAGATCAGATCAGGAGGTTCGGCGTCAACGAATCCCAAGGTTGGGGTTTAGGCAGGCAATCATACCTTGATCCTCCGTCTCCTACAATAAGCGCATCCATTTCGAGATTTTGTATGTGCTCTTCTTGGTTTGAACGGTCGTAACAACTGTTTGGAGTCCATTGTGATGGTGTTGGCTAGAAGTGCCTTTGGAACTTGACCTGATACAAGTCTATGGTCGTATCGTGCTGTTTGTTGTATGCCGTAGTATATGTATGTGTGTATATGATATTGTGCTCGAGGTAAAGGAAGCAAGTGAAGAAGACTAAGTATATACTTCAAGTGATACCCCCAAGTGAGTAGTTCACTCATGTAATAATATCGGTCCCTTTACGTAGGTTCAAGTAAGGTAAATAAGGTATTTCGGTCTCCTATATTTATTGATATTTTTGTTTTTTGTCATGGTCAGGTCCGCTTCCTCCTACCTATCTCAGAGTGGTTCCATTTCTGCCTTGTGTGTGTGTCGTCGATCATTCACAATCGTCATCTGTAAATAAGATGCCAATGCACGACAACCAGGTGGCTTTGCTTAGTTAGCTTGGCTTATTAGCTTTGTGAAACTCCGTTAAAAAAAACCCTCTCATGACCGATATGTGTGTGTGTGTGTGCGAGGCGTGCGAGCGGTATTCAGCTCCATGTTCCGGTCGTCGTTAGTCCCGATCGAGGAGTTGCATGGGATGTGCACAAAATCCCCAGGCACCAGTGGTAAGGGTAAAACAAAAAGGAAAAGGTTCTGGAAAGAGAAGCTCGGAAAAGGGAAACTCGGCGGAAACGACCAAGTTACAGTATCTCGTGGTTTACAGGGATCGCTACTCCGTAACTCGGTAGTACAAGTACAAGTACCTTGTAAACGACGAATAACGGACCAGCAAACCACGGCTGACCGACTTACTGACTGACTTACTGACACACTTGACATGACTGGATACAAAGTTCAACGGGACTCGTTCCAGTCTTTTCCAGAATATTTAATAATTCAAATACTTTTTGTATGGAGTGATTCTTGGCGGTCGGAACGTGTCAAGCTTACAGTACGGAGTATATTATTTTATTTTAGTGAAGGTGACTTACTCGGTAGTACTCCGTAAATACTCCAATGACAGCCTCATTATTGCTTTTGACTTATTGCTCTGTTACTACTCTCTGCTGTACTCACCGACGTACTTCCGATTATTGCAAGTCTTTCTCCCTTCCCTTTCCTTTCCTTGAACTTATCACGGAGCACTGCGTAATGACTTGTTAATAAAATGTACCCCATAAGGCCACCAAATGACAACTCCATCAGGTACTTTAGTAAATAAGGCTGGCCTTAAAAAACTTTAAAGCCTTGCGACGTCAAATATGCGACGGCGCTTTCCACAATCACTTATTACTACTACTACTATTACTACTACAGTACTAACAAAAAGGTTTCGAGCACAGCCCCTTGGTGCAATTTGTATTTATTTTCTCTCTCTCTCTCTCTCTCTCTTAAGGACATATCCGCAACCATTATTTGTTATTTGTTATCATATACTCCGTGACTCCATAACTTTCCAACCGATACTCGGACCGATGTAGCAATGAAAAACCCAACAGTGCAGATATGATTCATCTTTGCAACTATTGTACTCCGTACCTCGCTTCGCATTCGTATTCGCTCTCGGTAAAGCAACGCCCCCTCACACAGCCTTGTCATTGTCATTGTCATTGTCCTCAATGAGCGTAACATCATCCCTTTCCAACCCACCCTCCCCGTACCGAAAACAATATCGTAAGATGTTTGTCAGAAAACAATGATGCAAAAACGTCCAATGTAACCTCTTTTTGTGCTCGAACCTAAAAAAGTCCGGAGCTGAACAGGTACTTTTGTTCTTGAATGTGAACGGATTCTATCACTCCAACATCAAAGCCGATTTGAAGTCAGGTATTCATAAGCTGAAGTCCGGTCGTCGGAAATGGGGTACCATCTAATTACTCGTACGCAAAAGAACTTCCACACGCACACACGTCAACATCATTTCCTTCAAACAAGGTATATTCCAGCTATACGCCTCCAAAACAAGAATCGATGACGGCGCTCATGACACGGTGGTGTCTCTTGCGCTACTACGACAATCCTTGATCAAGCTACAGGTTCGGTCAAAAGTAAGACCGTTGAACTCCCAAGGGTGATCATGAACCGACGGGTTGAATTCTCGTGGACGTCGTATCTTGTGTGTTCGCACCCGGCCTACCCTACTATCGACGCAGCAGTCCCACGTCTTCGACTTGAGCAGCTGGCACATGACGCTGGAATTTCGTTCATTTCCGTTTGATTTCCTGATGATGAGCCAGAACTATCAGAAAAGCGACTGATGTTGAAAAAACACCATGGTGCAGGTGTTTTATCACTCCAACGATTCCACCTCACTCAAACATGATATCCTTTGAAACATAGCCTGGAGCTGCGTACACTTACCAAAGCCGCACCTGAAGGAGAGAGGTCGCTGAATGTTCCCCGACAACGACCAATCTTTCCTCGGTAACGAAGGGTCAGAACTCTCCAGTCCCTAAGTCGATTATACGTCTCGAAAGACCACTCGAACCACCATTGAATCCGTTGATATGAGGTACACTTGATCGTGGTACCCTGGTTGATCTTTCTGCAAGTCTTTAACTTTTGGACATGTGGCGAAGCCGTCTAGAAACGCATTCCACTTCAACGCCAAGCATGACAACGAAGTAGTTTACCCGCTCAGCCACTGTGCCACCAGACATCATTGAATTTGAACGCAGGGCTGTGGGAGTCGGCCCCATATCGTAGAGCTGGCTCCCAACGGCATTCTCGCCTTTCCGAGTCCAAGAAAGGGATACGTCAGCTGCCGAACATTGCGGATTGTCCTTTAACGAATACTGGCAAGGTCGGATCAAAAGGATGTCGCAGCCTGAGCTTGTCGGATTGTCGGCTTGGTTGATGGTGGCGACTTCAGATTAAGCAGAGCGACAATTGCAAGTCTCGATGGCAGCCAAATGACGTTGACATTCCGTGAAATTTTGACAGGATGCGTTTGGGAATCACTCGCCCATGGGCCAAATCTATGCAAACTCCACAGGCAATGCCATTGATTGTGTTCTCCCTGGAAAGTCTTTAACCTGTAATCGTTTTCCAAGTCATTGTCGGTATCGTGGGCCCAAAGTCACACCCGAACCATCTGTTGAGAGGTACTTGGATTGCACAAGAGATTGGTGTCTTGTGAGTGGCGAGGTGTATCGAATCAACAAACGCGAAGAAGCATTGGCAATACACAGAGTTATCCTCATCCCGAAGTCATATGCGAACCTATGAACTCGTGACACGATACATTCCCTGTGTGGGCAGCAGCTCATCACGGCAATCCCTGGATTGCCGATTTTCACATGCCGTAAGGCTGAGCGTATATGATTCCGTTCCAGTAAAAAGACTGACTGCATGCATCAGCTCGCGTGTTCATAAAATGCCCGGGAAATAGTGCCACAGCAGCGGTCTAATGCCGATCCTTGTCCAGGGGGATACGCCAGTGCCTCGAACGCAGTGGCAACCCGTGCTCGGACGACTGGTCGTTCTGGTTTATCAGTGGTAGATATAACAGGCAAGATGCAGATGATACTCGGCTGCGACTTTGTGTGACTAGGTAATTCGCCATCGGAAGGTGGGTTAGTGGACGGGTGCAGCCAGCAGATCGTAAGCTCTGTTTTCAGGCGTTTCCCTGTTCGATCTCGGAATCAGATGGCAGGCGTCATTGCGCGCCGTTAAAGGACTACTGCAAGTGCAGGTGAGTCTGCAGTACGCGTTTCGTCTTACCAGAGGCGGTATGCAGAAGACGCCATATGGTAATTTTGGTCCGGAAACACACGATCAAAGAGTCGCATTAGCCAATGGCTTGAGAAGGAAGTGTCCAATGGTCCTGCAAATTGCGATCCCTGCCCCTACGTCGTTGGTGCCATCGTGTCTGGTGAGCAGGAAGAGATGTACGGAGTATGCACTTTACGTATGTCGAAAGAACCCACCCGAGCAACAACAAACGGTCGACCAGCTCCTTGTATTCGCTAGACTGCCATCACAGAATTGCCCCCCACATGGCATTCTCTCTTGAGGGTGTGGACCAGGATTTGTGCGTTCCGTCTTTCCGGACGTTCAAGCACCACAAAGCTTCAATGGCGTTTCGCCTGTAAGACCGTCATTGCGGTTGCGATTGAAATCGTTGAGCTCAATGTTCCATGGGTCGGAAGTTCTCGCGAGCACATGTCAGAAAAGACAGGCCTCAAGAGACACTTCACTTTGTGTCTCCAGCAGGAATAAAGGCCAGCGCATGCAGCAGACGGCTTGATGAAGACGTCGGGTTGTGCGTCCGAAGTCTTGGCCCAGCAGATCTCGTCGCGCGTCGTAACAACCACGTTGAGCGGTGTGGGCAGGCGAAGTGAAGGATGCCTTGGCCTGGATGGACGGAAACAAAGTGGGAAGACGTCTAATTGCAACAGTTTGCGGATCAAGCACTGTAACTTGCAGATGGAGATGGAGATGCGATGGGGCGAGTCCTTACGGCGTAATTTAGAACCTTTCGCTTTGCACACCTTGGTGGAGGACAGGGAGAGTCAACTTGTATAACCACCAACAAGATACTCCGTATATGATGATGATGTATATAATGACAGTAAATGATTACCCAGGAAGTGGTGTGCTTTTCATGAAACTGCAATTTTATTTGCACTATCGCATTCTCTGGCCACTCCAGGAACAGCTGCCCTAGAGCCGGTGATATTTTCTCCCCTTCTCGGTGTTCACGGTGTTCACCGGTGTGTCGACTCTCTCTCCCTCTCTAGCCCAGTCCGTTGCCTCGAGGTCCAATTGTAAACAATCCAAGAAGACCCCGGCAGATGAAACGGGCATAAAGCGTGTGGGAAGAGAGTTCAACTAGGTCTGTGTAGGTAGGGAATTGTTCATCATTTATCAGTCTGTCACTGAACGCACTGACCCGTCTATCCAGATCGTGGTCTCCTCACACACTCTGCGCACCAGGAAGCGAAATCTCCAGCATCACGGGTCAACCGGTCTCAGTGGTCCATCGTTGTCGCAGTCAGTGTTGAAGCGCAACTACAAGTTCTACGAGTCCTCCCATCTTGTGTTTGACTCGCCTAAAGCATCGGCCTCACCCTTTAACCAAGTGCAGTCACTCAGTCGCCATTTGTGTGTACCGTGCTCAGCCTATGCCAGAGCCAGTCGCCCGGAACTGGCACCGCCTGGAATTTTTCTAATAGGCTTTGGAATCCTGTTCACTGCCGCCCCGAAAAGCCACCTCAGCAGTCACTATAATCCACCGAGTCTAGCATCCAGACCCAACTACGAGTAGAATATCCCTCACTCACAAGAAATCTCTTCCTTCTCAAAGAAGCTTAAGTCGATCTCAAAGTTTTTTCTCCTGCCAGCTGGTCGCGCACAATTGGCGAATTTGCCCTTTACCATCCTGTACTTGGACACCCTAAAGGGACAAATTGAACTGCACCAGCGAAGAAAGAAAACACCCCCTCTCAATCCCACCGAGGTGCCGCGCCGCCAGGGAACAGGTATTAATTAAGAATTGGTCAGCAAGTGGGAGTGATTCGCTTCCATTAGGGCATCTATTGCCCCCTCCTCAAATTCCGACGTCTTCCTCTCGCCAGCCATCGCCCCCCCTGAATCTCGTCTCGGGGGCCATTTTCGAGGCATCATCTAGCCTATTGGGCCCGCGCACCATTGTACCGAATCCTCCCCGCGATTGAACTCAGCCACCGAGGCCCAGCGCTGCTCAACCCACCCGTTCGCCTGGCTTTAACGAAAAGAAAAATTAGCTGCCACCGCACACACGATCATGACCAAGTGATCGCAAATCCCTTTCATCATAAGGCCGTGGTCGTGACGGCAGCCTACCGTACCCGCTTCACACATCACCAGACTCTCTCCCAGTTCGCGCGACTTCTACTTACTCAATTCCTTTTCTGAGCCATCCTCGCCACCAATATCGCTGCATTCTTACACCATCATCTTCTTATATCTAAACGGAAAGAAAAGAGAAGGGAGTAATAAATAACTCATTTTCCGCACCCCTCTTTCGCGTCATCTTACATTATCACCGCTCTTTGGATCACAGCATCGCCAGGCGTGCCTTATCTACCGCCACTAAGAACACCAGAGAGATAGGGCTCCTTGCCCGCCCGACCAGCATCCCCCCACCTTACCCTACACATTTCACATGAATCGCTCATCTTCCTCAATTCACAACTCACAGCCGACCTCTTCTCCCGCCTTGACGCATTCTCCAGTTTCACAGGATGACGCTGCTTCGATAACAAGACTCGCGGAGGACACGGCTCACCTCACCGTGAATGGTGCTGCCGTGCCCGCCGCCGCCGCCACCCCTGCTCATCACCAGCTCCCTGCGCCTGTCGCCAAAAAGCCCAAAATGACACACCGTCTTACTCGAATGTTCTCTCGTACCGAGCAAAGCCATATCGACGCCGCCAAAGCAGAACATCTCAAGTCCTCGTCCCCCCTGCCCGATGTTCCTTCAGACGCCCTCAACGGTCACTCCAACCGACCTCTGCCAGCCAGAACCTCTTCCGGTGATCAGAAAGACAAGAAGATGACAATCCTCCAGACCGCAAAGGAGAAGACAAAGGGTGAGCCGCCCTTCGACCCGGCCCATGCTCAATTTAAGAGGTTTGACCTACATGAGGATGGTACACATGATCATCATCTCAAGTCCGCCAAACGGCAGGAGAAGTTGACGGACATGCTCCGCGAAATGCTGGGCGGCAAAAAGAAGGATGCGGACGGGGACCAACAACTGTCCCTTATGTCCTCGTGGGTCGACCAGCTGAGATCAGAGAAGGATGCCTTGGCTGGTGACAAGAAGGGCGGTCCTAACGCTACCGCCAACCTGGTTGAAAAGTACGGCAAATGCCAGGAAATCGTCGGTCGCGGCGCATTCGGCATCGTACGGATATCGCACAAGCCCGATCCTAATAGCATCAGTGGAGAATCGTTGTACGCCGTCAAGGAATTCCGTCGCCGACCACAGGAAACAGCGAAGAAGTACCAGAAACGGCTGACCAGCGAATTTTGTATATCATCGTCACTACGACACCCGAACATAATACACACCCTCGATCTCCTCCAAGATTCAAAAGGGGATTATTGCGAAGTCATGGAGTACTGTGCCGGAGGCGACCTCTATACCCTAATTCTTGCCGCTGGTCAATTACAGGTCTTGGAGTCCGACTGCTTTTTCAAGCAGTTGATGCGTGGCGTTGAATACATGCATGAGATGGGTGTCGCCCATCGAGACCTGAAGCCCGAGAACTTATTGCTCACTACACACGGTGCTTTGAAAATCACCGACTTTGGAAACGGCGAATGTTTCCGAATGGCTTGGGAAAAGGAGGCTCACATGACGGCCGGACTGTGCGGAAGCGCCCCTTATATCGCTCCCGAGGAATACCAGGGCGGTGAATTCGACCCTCGAGCCGTCGACGTGTGGGCCTGTGGTGTCATTTACATGGCCATGCGAACCGGCCGTCATCTATGGAGGGTGGCGCGAAAAGAAGAAGATGAATTCTACGAGCGCTATCTGGAAGGACGGAGAGACGAAGATGGTTATGCTCCAATTGAGACGTTGCACAGGGTAAGTCGATTTCCCCTTGTTTTCCCTTTCGCGTTGTACACGGCTGACACTTCTCTTTTTCTGTTCATCAGGCACGCTGCCGAAATGTCATCTATTCGATTTTAGATCCCAACCCAGGTCGCCGTATCACGGCCTCTCAAGTCCTCAAATCCGAATGGGGCAGAGACATCAAAGTATGCAAGGCCGGCGAGGAAGGTTACTGATCTACCTCGTCGTCGTCAAGACATACTCGCCAATACTCACGGCACGTTTTTGCGGATGGATTGACGGAGGAAAGTTCCTCACTCGTGTTGTCATTTTTTGTTTTCCAGCATACACACGAGTATGATGACCCCGTTGACGAAGTGACGACAACCTCGAATCAAATTGATTTTTTTAAAAAGAGCACTTGCAATTTTTCATTTCCTTTCTTCTCCACGGAGGTTCAAGATGACGATTTTTCTTGTTCTGCCTTTCGCCTCCCCCAGATGGCAAACAACTGTATCTCACGCAAAAAGAAAGCGAGCATATCTAGAGTGGAAAGCGATTGATGAATTGAAAACGCATCGGAAGTACTTTTTGGGGGGGGGGTTCCCCTTCTATACGCCCAATTTTTTCTTTCTATCTCCGTGTTTGTGTGTTTGAAAGTTGAAGAGAACGCAGCGATGTTTTTGGTTTTTGGTCTTCGTCTTCTCTCGTTTTTGATGATCCTGCCTGTACCTAAACCTTCTTTCTTTTCACCCTACCTAGGTATTTTGTCCGTTTCCCCCTTTTTAGAAAAGGGGAACTCAGGAAAACTACAGATACAATTCTTGCATTTCAAAAATGATGATACGTCACGTGTGTATATGTGTGTGTGTGTGTGTATTCAATCCGCCTTTTTTCTTACTTCGTACATCGTATGTAAGCTTGTCGCGTGAATTATCTTCAATGAAGTCATACTGGATGTTCCATGTCTGTTTCAAAAGGAACTCATACCTCATCAGGTACACATACCCGACGTGTGCCCGTCTCCCTTGTTTTTCAATTCTTTTTGCTGACAAGGGGGCTCGTTGGGTGGCTTTGTACCGCGTACGCGCGTGTGCGATGTAAACCCAATTTCTGGGGGGTCCTCAACTCCATCTATTAGGCATGCAGGGCTGTAATACAGGACGGACGCAGGTGGCCTCGGCCCCCGGCGAGTCCAAGGTGGCTGAGCTCTCGAAAAAGAAAGAATCCTGCCCGACGATCGGTTGACAACAAAAACTAGTCCTGTGGGTTGGACATTTTAAAAGTATTACGGAGTTTCGGAGTACCCGGACTCGGTAAAGGTAGGATATCATGTCCAGCCTGGGAATAAAGGGTTGTCCTACTGTACGGAGTATACTCTGTAGGTATGAAGTTGCCTTTACAGTACTCCGTACCTTACTGTATGTAGGTACCGAGTATGTACATGCTGTCCTACGACCTACTCCCCCCCCCACCCGTACATATTACTCCCCGTACCTATTGATTAGTAGATGGGTAATATCCAAAGTTCAGGTCAACTCCCTACACTGTCGGTCAATTATTCATTCGATTACCATCCAGTACTTCCATCTAGGTCTTTGGTTACGACGGCATTATCTCTTCACATTCTCAAGTCCTCAACATGGACAATGTCCACGTCCAAATGATTTGTTATTACTGTACATAGTCGATCATCCTGGGTACTCCGTACCACAACCAACTTGGACTAGCCACAAGATCGTCTCCACGGAGCCTATAGGGATCCCAGTAGTACATGACCATTTGTGAAGAAAGAAAACAAAAAGGAACAGACATGGACTCAAATGGTAATGGTAAAGCAAAGAAATCATACCTTGATCATTAAGAACGCGCGCGTCTGTGTGTGTGTGTGTGTGTGTGTGTGTGTGTGTGTGTGTGTGTGTATCTCTCGCACCCACCAAGCCCGTCACGCGTTTAGAAGTGTAATGAGATCGAAAAAAAAAGAAAAAGGTCAAATGATCAAGAATGGCATATACAGTACAGTATCCCTTGGCCCTGGCAAACAGGTCGGTAATTTGCTATCTTTCATCAACCTCTTTTTGATCATAATGATGGTTTTTTACCCCTTTTCAACGCGCGTGTGTGTGTGTGACTCCTCATCCAAACTGATGAAATTTCAGTAAATCCGGTCCGACTTCGCAACCCCCATCAAACGCCCACAAAAATGAGAGAGACAGAGACGAAGAGACGACGAGACGACACGAGAGAGAGACACCAAACAACTTTTTCAACCCCCATTACACTCATCGGCTAGGCAGCGGGCAGCAATTTCTAATCACTATCATCGCTGTCGTCAGCCTTGCTGGCCGAGCTCTTTCGCTTCTCCTTCTTTTCCTTCTTCTCCTTTTTCCTGCGCTTACGCTCGGCTCGTTCTTCTGGGGTTTCGCCATCGTGCTTCTTTCGCTTCTCCTTCTTATCCTTGGGACCCAATGACGCAGCATCTCCATTCACTGATGTGGTGGCGGCGGTCGCGTCAACATCCATTGCCTCTCCGTTTGGCGCAACCGGTGGAGCGGCAAGCACATCGGATTGTGACGTCTTCTCATGTACAGGTGCGGCGGTGGAGCCGGAAGCATCGGCTGGTGCGTTGTAGTCGGTGTACTCAGCAGACCACTTGGCGGGAGTGGCTTCATTGGGACGGCCATATTTCTGTGGTTTGTCGTCAGTACGAAAATCATGGACAAAAAAAAGGATCCCGGTAACTTACGTCAAGCTTGCCATCAGACTTCATCTTCTTCTTTTCCAAGGCAACTGGACCCATACCCCATCTGCGAGGGTACAGATCTCGCTCCATAATACATCTCTTGACCTTGGCCACAACACCGTGATCGCACGTGGACAGCTCGACGGTGGACATTTGTGCAATACCCAGAGCGATGGCTTCACCCTTGGTGGTCATCAAAACCACTTCCTCGTGGACTTCGATGCCTGCTTCGAATCGCAGCAGACCGGGGATCATGAGCTTGGCACCATAGCAGACTGCGTTCACTGCGCTGTCCTTGACGACAATTCGCTTGTATGTGGTCAAGAGACTCTCAAGTGGTGAGATGACCCTTCGCAGGTATGCCTCATCTCTATTATTGTCCATCATCCATTGTGCGTCAAGCACGTCGTGCAGTGTGACCATGCCATCAGCCTCGGCCATGGCTCCCGATCGCACTCTTCGAAGCTCTTGCATATGTGCGCCAACACCTAGCAGGAGACCCAGGTGCACGCAGAGTGTTCGGATGTATGTTCCTGCTTCGCAGCTCACCCAGAAGACACCCAGGTGTCGGTCGTTGTCGAACTCGTAGAGCTTGCTCTCGTGGATCGTTCGAATACGGAGTTGTCTCTTGACGGCCGAGATCAACGGTGGTCGTTGGAAGAGAGCACCGGTCAGGGTCTCGAGAGCTCGTGCAAATTGCGCCTCTCCACCAGGTAGCTTATCATGTAGCCTGATCACGCACACGTATTCCTTTCCGGCTCCTTGTTGCGACTTGACCAGGCGAGTTGCTCGGTCTATGCAGACAATGAGACAACCTGTGACTTTAGGATCGAGCGTACCGCTGTGACCCGTCTTTTCTACTCGGAGTATCCGCTTCACCCATGCGACAACTTCGTGACTCGATGGGTTGGAGGGCTTGTCGAGATTGATGACACCAGAAGAGATGTAGGATTTCAGGTCGCGCTTCAGAGGTGTGCATCCGCAGGGAATGGGGGTGAAATGTCCCGTTCGCACGAGCACTGTGAAAGCCTGGTCAGTGACTAGTCTATAAAATCGAGGATTGCAACACACATTTGTCATAGTTTTTGAGTAAAAGAGGCCACTCAGATGTGGGAATCACAGGAGTGACATTCTCTGGTTTGATGGCATAGTCGACCTCTTGAAGCTTTGCAACCACTGCCATGGTTGGCGGAATGCTTCAGCTCGAGGTTGTACGGGCTGGAGAGATCGATCGAGCAGGGGAGGAGGTTCAAAAGACCCGAGGACCGTCAATTACGCAAGATACACTACAGCCGTACCAAGCAGATGATAGTATGTTCAGCGTGAAGAAATATTGCCCTACCACAAAATATAGGTCGTACATCAGCCGCTCGAATGTAAAAAAATTGGGTTGGAGAGAGAAAATGGCGCTAACACCAAAATAGAATAGTTCTTAATATGCTTGGCACGGTCACATTTTCTTGTCTCCGAACAGGTGTCAACTCTTCGACAGCTTCTTCTTCAACATCTGTTCACGTTCCTCTTTCTGTCTTCATTTTTTTGGATCATCAAGCATGAGCGGCGGAGGCGTTGATATCATGGATCGATTCTGGAGTGCCCCTCCGGTGACTCGGTCAGTAGACTGATCATCATTCCAACAGCTTTCGTTTCTGACCGTGTCCAAGGACGATCGTAGCAGCAATGTTCATCGAGTCTGCACTTGTTCATAGCGGCCTTATCAATGGCCTGCGAGTTGTCTTTTATTCGCCGTGGATCTTCAAGTTTCCTCCTGAGTTATGGCGGCTTCTTTCGTCGTTTCTGTTGACTGGAGGAGGCTTTTCGTTTGTGTTCGATCTTTATTTCAGTATGTGGTGCTGGCTTCACCTCTGCAAGCTACTCACACATCAGCAGTGTTCACGTACGCATCAGGTCTAGAACTGAACTCGCCACGATTTGGGCAGCCTGGTGATTTTTTCACCTATGTCGTATTCGTGGCCTCGGTCATCTTGGTGAGCACCCTCCAGCTTGTTTTTCAGTTTCCCCCTTCCCTCCAAATATACACCTCGCATTTTCTGCCCGCCCAGCCATAAAACTAGCTGAAGCGGTTCCTGGTAACGAGGGAGATTACCCCTGTGGCACGTGTAGACCCATCATTCGCAAAACTGTCAAGGGTCTAGGCGCTGTGCAGGCATGGTGGTGGCTCTATTGAGAAAGCTTTCGTGATACACACAATTTACGATTCGCGGTTTATGCTTCCTACATCTCATCAACAGCCATGTCTTGTTCTTGTGACGCTGCATGTTTTCACACTAACTCACTGGCCATAGGTGATTGGAGGCTTGGTTCTTAGTTCCCACATCTTCACTCAAGCTCTTCTTCTCGCCTTCATCTATACCTTTGCGCAAGACAACCGGGGCAAGAAAGCACATTTCATTATTCTGCAAATTCCGGTTGAGCTTCTTCCTTGGGCAATGCTCACCTTGACTCTCATAATGGGCGGTCCCACAGCTGCGTTGCAGCAGGGAGTGGGCGTCATCGCTGCGCACTTGTATGATTTCCTCACGAGGCTGTACCCAACATTTCAAGGTGGTCGAAATTACATCCAAACTCCGGCGGCGATCAAACGCTACTTTGGGGCTGATCGAAGTGCTTTCAGTCATAAAACGTACGGTACCAGCTTCAGACAGGGCCAAAACGTCCCTCAGCAACAAAGCCGGGGTTGGACGAGTGGATTTTCCAGTGGCTGGAGTGGTCGAGGCGCCGGGCGAAGGTTAGGTGGTGATTGAGATTCTACCAAGATGTCAGTGTGTGACAATATGGACAACAGCTTTTTCATGATCTGATGAACAGAGATACCCAATCGAGCGACTTCCCCCGTATTTCTATCCGAAGAACAACTTCCTTTCATTTCGTCTGACTGAGCCACATAGCATGCAAACTCGCTACTCGTACCCGTATGATCGATGATGATGATCACGACGACATTTCAGGAGGTCTTGTTACCACATTGGGGATATTTACCCAAGCCTGCAACGTTTTCGGCCTCAGCACCCCTGGCCGATCCATATCCGTATCCGCCAGCCTCGCCCTACCCCACACGTTTCATACATGTCTTGTCTCACGGTTTCGCCTTCTTCCGGCGAATCTTTTCCTGACGCCCTCACTCCCGTTATGTGAAAAAAACGGCATCTGCCACATCACATGCGGCATCAGTCGACCTAGCCGACCTTTTTGCGTCTGGAGGCATCCATGAAGCTCTCCACCGCCCAGGCCCTTTCGAAGCTTCCCATTGCCCTGGCGAAGCTTTAGCGGATAGATTTACCTCTTCCCGGTGTCGTTCCATCGTCGTAACGAAGTCAACGTGGATATCTACTGTCTATCTCGTCCCTGTAAGGAGGTGAAGGCGATGCTCAGCCTCATTGGTCTATCCACTACTCCGTACTTGTCCAGGACAGAACTTTTGGGGAAAAAGGTGATACTCGCGTCTTTCTCTGACAAGTTTGAGGTTCTCGACAGAGCGGAGCCTGACGCACGCGTCCACCTGCTTTTGGCCTACACTCTCGTTGCAGAGATGGCTCGTGGCCAGATCTATATCAATCGCAGTATTTCTCTCTCCCGTTCTGTCCGCTCAGATTCTCATCTTCTCATTGATTGTCCATCTTTGCAATTTTCCCCCTTTCCCCCTTCTGCATCTTTAACCCATCCAGGCCGGTTCCTGTTCCTTCATTCTTGATCATTAGAGAGTTGACCTCGGCATTTATTCGAATTTCGCCCAAATAGACACAGGTTGTCCCTTCTTTTTCAGGATCCCCACAAGACACAGCAGGCTCGTTGTCCAATTGTTTCCCTACTCTATAACAACATGGCCAGACTCACCAATCTTTTCCTCACATTCAACTTGCTCGTCCTCCCCGGCGTCCTAGCCGACATCAATGCATTGTCACTCACAGCCGCCGTGGCGATTGTTCCTGGCTTCCTCGCCCCAGCAGTCTCGGCATACGTCCTCCCTCCAGGAGGTTTCAAGCGGTCATACGGCCTAGCTCCACGCAAGCAGGACGATGGTCAAGACCAGGGTCAGAACCAGGGCCAAGATCAAGGCGTCAATGTCGGTCCCGGTGCCGGTGCTGGTGTCGGTAACGGTGTAGGGCAGGGTCAAGGTCAGAACCAGGGCGCTGGCAATGCCGGTGTCGGTGCAGGTGCTGGTGTTGGTAACGGTGCAGGCCAGGGTCAGGGTCAGAACCAGGG